TTGAAACCTCATATTCCAGTGACATAAGATCCTTAGGTACTTATATTTATAAATGTGAGTATTGGGTTTGTACTAAACCATCTTTATGATTACTACGATACTGTTCATACCTATATATTCCAAATCATTATAATCCATAGGTCTTTGTAGTAACTAGATATAAAGGTCGTGTATATACCGATTAAATAAAAGATTAGATAAATGAGTTGAAGGCAATGATTAGGATAGTCAGTATTGTTCTTTATCGTATTCGATTCTTTTATTTGTGTATTATAGAACAATATACATCATTTGTTTGATATTAAACTCGGTTATTAAGTCGTGATTGTTAAGGAATAAATATTTAAATGAGTTTCCCAAATCCCCCTACGTCCGTTAAGTTAGTTTTATTAGGCGAAGCAGCCGTTGGTAAATCATCTTTGGTGTTAAGATTCGTTAGCAATGATTTCCAAGAGAATAAGGAGCCTACTATAGGAGCTGCATTTTTGACTCAAAAATGTACCATTGGTGATCGTACCATTAAATATGAGATATGGGATACCGCAGGACAAGAGAGATTTCAATCATTAGCCCCTATGTATTACAGAAACGCACAAGCAGCATTAGTTGTTTACGATATCACTAAACCAGCATCATTTATCAAAGCGAGACATTGGGTGAAGGAATTACACGAACAGGCCTCTAAAGACATAACGATTGCTTTAGTTGGTAACAAGTATGATTTAGCAGAAAATGACAATGAAAATGAAGAAAGTTTGAGGAAAGTTAGCATTGAAGAAGGTAAAAACCTTGCTGAGGAAGAAGGATTATTATTCTTTGAAACCAGTGCAAAATCCTCATATAATGTTAATGATGTGTTCATCGGAATAGGTAATAAGATTCCTGATACAAGTGCTAGCCAAGGTACTTCTTCGGGATTAAATGTCAATGGACAGTCTAATAACGAAGGGAGAATTGATTTGAGTGCTGGATCGAATAACAATCGTGGTGGTGCTGATGCATGTGCTTGTTAGTCCATTTTTTAAATACGGTATAGATTGTACGTCATTGCAATGTGATTATATTTTATTCTATGTATTTTCTTTTATTTAATAATTATATCTTGACAATGAATGAACTAACAGTTGTAGATTTATTTATATGACTATAAAATGGCTCCAACAAAGTCATAGAATCAATGCACAATGCGCACTGAATTACCGAAGGATTTACGTCAAATTTAATTCACATTCCTAATAACTGTCAATGCTAAAACTGTTTTTAGGAAGAATGACTGTATTAAAAGTTGCTTACATCCCAGAACACTTCTCGACACCATTGTTCTTTGCTGAGCAAGAAAAATATTATGCTTCTAAAAACTTAGAAATCGAATTCACCCCAGTCCCGGAGGGTACTGGACGTTTAATTGCATTGCTCAATTCTAATGAAGTTGATATTGCCATTGGTTTAACAGAAGGTTTTGTTGCTGATATCGCAAAGGGTAACGAGGCATATAAGGTGGCAGCGACTTATGTCCAATCCCCATTGTGTTGGGCAATTAGTACAGGATACAACAGAGAGGACATTACTAAACCGGAAGACTTGGCTGGTAAAAAAATTGGAGTTTCGAGGATCGGCTCAGGTTCCTATATCATGAGTTTTGTATTAGGCCTCCAATTGAAGTTCCCTTCTCCATTCTTTAGCGACCATCCAACCTGTTCAAACTTTAAGAATTTACGTGAATCTGTCAACCACACATACGAGGACAAGAGCAAATTTAGCGATGCATTTATGTGGGAACATTTCACCTCTAAGAAATACTACGACAACAAAGAGATTAAAAAAATTGGAGAAATTTACACACCATGGCCATCGTGGGTTATTACTGTGCGTGACAGCGTATTGAAGAACAACTACGAAGACATCAAGAACTTTACTGATTGTGTAAACAAGGGTGTTAAGCATTTCCTTGAAAACCCAGATAAGGCTTCTTCCTACATTGCTACTAACTTGGATTACTCTGAAGAAGATGCAAAAGCCTGGTTAAAAACCGTCAAATTCAACGAATCCTTGGGTCAAAGCGAAATCGACTGGGAAGCAGTAGTCAACAACACGTCTAAAGTATTAAAGACTGCTGGTGTTTTGACTGAAAGCGATGAAGTTATTCAAAACAGATTAGAAAATGGTGTTATCAAAAAGTTATGATTCGATAAGTATGTCTAATGTCTTAGATATCTTCTGATAGATGCTGAATAATATACGTGTATTGATATTTGTCAATGGTAGATTGAATCTCTTAAAAATGTATTGTGAGAAATAATTTTTTGACATCATTAGGTTCTTCTTGTCCACCTTTGATGACAATAAGGTTGTCTATAGAGCAAGAACCCATTTTTAAGAATAAGCTAATAAAACCCCATAGGCAATATTTTGCAATTGTAACCCATATGGATCACATGATTTGATTCTTCTATTGTCAAAGTTGATCTATACATATATATAACACCCTATTTTATATTCCTATTTTATAGCAATTACCATTTGGAAGTTGTTTTATTATATAATTTGTACGCCATTAAGTTCCCAGTATTGATTAAGCTCAAGAAAATGACTGTTCCGCTGTTTTTGAAATTGCCGATACCAGATCAGCGAATGAATTTTAGTACGCATAACGCAGTTGAATCAGAAAGAATAAGTGAAGCATTAAACTCTCCAGAAAAGTCCGTTTGGTCCATAAGTGATGCCATAAGTCGTAAGAGTGTGCAAAGAAATAGATATTCGAACGTTTTTCCATGGAATAAGTCTAGGGTTAAATTGCCGGTTGAACAAGGACATTCAGACTACATCAATGCATCATACATAAGTATGGGTAATAAGGTTGGTTATATAGCAGCACAGGGGCCACTTGACGATACAATACATCATTTTTGGTCTATGTGTTATAATGAGTCAGAGAAACAGAAAAATGATACTGTGATCATCGCGATGGTGACACCTTTAACGGAAGGTGGCATGAAGAAATGTTCTCAGTACTGGCCAACCAAATCCAATCCCGTATTGAATGTCACGACATTGTTGCAAAATGATGGTATAGAAATACCTGGCTTATCAATCCACTATTTATCTGAAACATACATAGAAAAGGGTGATTACTTGTTGACTGAAATGGAGCTAAGATCTAAAACACTGGTGAAAAAAGTCTACCATTTCTACTACTACAAATGGGCTGATGCAAGAGTTCCGCCGTCTGTTGATCCATTAATATCCTTGTCGCAAGAAATAAGAGCTTTGAAAAAATCTGTTACAAATGAACCGGTTCCTATCATACACTGTTCTGCTGGTGTAGGACGTACAGGGACATTTATAGCTTTGGACCAGCTATTTCATGAATTGACTCCTGATATTCTTGATCCCGCAAATGACAAGTTCGATCCAATTGAAGCGATTGTCACTCAATTGCGTAATGAAAGAATGATGATGGTCCAAACTGTATATCAATATTGCTTTCTCTACGATACTATGAAAGAGGTATACTCTAAAAGAATTCAGACTTAACTGAATTTACTATCATATTAGGTAATAAATTGTGATGAGTTTAATAGATCAAAATAATCTCCTAGATAAATAACGCGCTACTTGGCTGCAATAATATGTTTATAAATATATACATATCCAGTAAAACAACGATTTTCATAACTTATTATAGATTACAGGTCAAATTTTCTCCTTTAACATCATAGGGGTGGCCTTCATAAATATTAGTTCTAAGTAATTGTTGATCTTTTGGGTTGAAATGCAAATATGCTGTTACAGCCTACTCCGATTGGAAGCAGTGATAGTGCATATGGTCCAGAATCTACATCAGACTTGATATTCATTGAAAATGAATCCAGGTCATTTAATCGCTTATCCAGCCCGAGAATTGGAGAAAGCCAGGAGTATTATGGTGAAGATTATTTAGACGCCGATGACGAGTGGATCTTCAGTTCGCTTTACTTATACAACACTTTTTGGATAAAATATGCAGAGATTAAAAACAGCTACACTTACGGAAAGAGTTCTGGGGAATCTAGTTTAATAAGTATCGACAGACTACACGATGCAACAGGTCATGATGATCTTCTGAAAGAGATAAGAGTACGAATTTGTTCGAAACAAATCCTTCAGTTCATGTTAGAACTAAATAAAAATTATGAGGCAGAAATATTTTTGGAGCATTCCAACACATATGCAAACACAAACAGTGCTTGGATCATGTGTAAGAAGCTATGTGTCGATGAATGGATGATTAGTTTTGCCCCAATCAAGAACAAAAATATGAGGCACATAATCTCCACCTTGGCTCGATTGCATTTTGAATCAGCACAGTGCATAGACCTTTTCGTCACCAAAACTAAAGTACCACAAATAGAAACATACATCTGCAAAATATCTCCAAACCTATCATGCTTGGATCAATTTACTTTCAGTGGTGATGTGATTCGCATCCGTCCCATCTATCCCCCTAACCCCAACCACCCCACTGAAAGCGACATCACTGAGTCTGTTCGTCAACTCTTAGACGTCATGGATTCACACTATAGTGACATTACCATACATGGTCCCCTCTATGACTATCCCCTGTGTCCTAGATCCATTGCCAACATTACTACCACTCTCCGCAAAAAAATCAAGGTAAGCGAAATACCCCAACCTACAGATATCATTCGCAAGGTCCTTCTGCTAAAAAAGCACGAAGTAAGCTTTCTAATGGGTTTTCAGGGCACTAGAATCAATAGTATTAGAAGATCTTCTTCATGTGTCATTAAAGTTTTACCATTTTCAACTACAATGGATGCAACATTTATTCCTATAAAGAATTCGCCCCAAGACCTAATGATTTGCGGCACACCTGCAAACGTACAATATAGTATAAACCTCATCCAAAATTATCTCATAGACTACAGAAATAATAATTCCTAGACCTCGACTGCTACTACTAGTGCCATTGCATGATGATGTTCCATCGGCATGGCCCTAGGGGGATCATATCAGGCTCGACCCTTCCATTACATACGCTAGAAGACATCAGGCACGGTTGCGGGTAACCCAGTCATCTCAGTACATCTGGGAATGTGCGCAGTTTTCAGTACTTACTTTATTAGTTCATTAAATGTGATTTTTGCAGTTTAATGAGAAGACCTAAACAAAGTGAAAAATTTTGCTGGGTGAAAAATTTTCTCGTACATCTGAGGTTTAAATATTTTATTTTCAAATTATTGAATTCTTCTTTTGTTCGTTTATACAACAACTTAATTTAATTTTAATTAAAAATGGCTGAAGGTGTTTTTCCAGGTGCTATCGGTATCGATTTAGGTACTACTTACTCTTGTGTCGCTACTTACGACTCTGCAGTTGAAATTATTGCCAATGAACAAGGTAACCGTGTTACTCCATCTTTCGTTGCTTTCACTAACGAAGAAAGATTAATTGGTGATGCTGCTAAGAATCAAGCCGCTTTAAACCCAAAGAACACTGTTTTCGATGCTAAGCGTTTAATCGGTCGTGCTTTCGATGACGAATCTGTCCAAAAGGATCTTAAGACCTGGCCATTCAAGGTTATCGACTCTAACGGTAACCCACAAATTGAAGTTGAATACTTGGAAGAAACCAAGACCTTCTCTCCTCAAGAAATTTCTGCTATGGTTTTAACCAAGATGAAGGAAATTGCTGAAGCTAAGATCGGTAAGGCTGTCGAAAAGGCTGTTGTCACCGTCCCAGCTTATTTCAACGACGCCCAACGTCAAGCTACCAAGGATGCTGGTGCCATCGCTGGTTTAAACGTTTTACGTATCATTAACGAACCAACCGCCGCTGCTATTGCTTACGGTTTAGGTGCTGGTAAGTCCGAAAAGGAAAGACACGTTTTAATTTTCGATTTAGGTGGTGGTACTTTCGATGTTTCCTTATTAAACATTACTGGTGGTGTTTTCACCGTTAAGGCTACTGCTGGTGACACTCACTTAGGTGGTCAAGATTTCGATACCAACTTGTTAGACTTCTTCAAGGCTGACTTCAAGAAGAAGACTGGTTTAGATATCTCCGGTGACGCCAGAGCTTTAAGAAGATTAAGAACTGCTTGTGAACGTGCTAAGAGAACCTTATCTTCTGTTACCCAAACTACCGTTGAAGTTGACTCCTTATTTGAAGGTGAAGATTTCTCCGCTAACCTTACCAGAGCTAGATTCGAAGACATCAACTCTGCTTTATTCAAGTCTACTTTAGACCCAGTTGAACAAGTCATGAAGGATGCTAAGATCTCCAAGGCCAGCGTTGACGAAGTTGTCTTAGTTGGTGGTTCTACCAGAATTCCAAAGGTCCAAAAATTATTGTCTGACTTCTTCGAAGGTAAGCAATTAGAAAAGTCTATTAACCCAGATGAAGCTGTTGCTTACGGTGCTGCTGTCCAAGGTGCTATCTTAACTGGTCAATCCACCTCTGATGACACTAAAGATTTATTATTATTAGATGTCATTCCATTATCTTTAGGTGTTGCTATGCAAGGTAACGTTTTCGCTCCAGTTGTCCCAAGAAACACTACTGTTCCAACCATCAAGAGAAGAACTTTCACCACTGTTGCTGACCACCAAACCACTGTTCAATTCCCAGTCTACCAAGGTGAACGTGTTAACTGTACCGAAAACACTTTATTAGGTGAATTCGACTTAAAGAACATCCCACCAATGCAAGCTGGTGAACCAGTCTTAGAATCTATTTTCGAAGTTGATGCCAATGGTATCTTAAAGGTCACCGCCGTTGAAAAATCTACTGGTCGTTCCGCTAACATTACCATTTCTAACTCTATTGGTAGATTATCATCTGATGAAATTGAAAAGATGATTGAAGACGCTGAAAAATTCAAGTCCTCTGATGATGCTTTCGCTAAGAGACACGAACAAAAGCAAAAATTAGAAGCTTACGTTGCCTCTGTTGAATCCACTGTCACTGACCCAGTCTTATCTGCTAAATTAAAGAAATCTGCTAAGGACAAGATCGAAGTTGCTTTATCTGATGCTTTAGCCGCTTTAGAATTAGAAGAATCATCTGCTGATGACTACAGAAAGGCTGAATTAGCCTTAAAACGTGCCGTCACCAAAGGTATGTCCACCCGTTAAGTAATTAAATAATTAATATTTTGTTGTATAAATTTTTCATTTTTGTTTATTATTCTTCGGGGACTCAATAAATATCATTATGTTTGTTTAAGAACTATCTGTAAAAGTAATTTAATTTGTAAATACATATTTATTCTATTATACACTTCTTAAATTTCAGTTATTCATCCAAGATATAGTTTCCCAATTTATCCATTTTTAACTGTTTAACACCACTGGATAAGGCTTCAATGATTTGCTCGTCCTCCTCCTCATCATCTTTAAGCTCTTCTTCACTTTCGTATTCTTCTATGCTATCTTCAGTTTCTTCATCTTGTTCATAATCAGAGTCTATTTCAGAGCGATCATCTTCTTCCTCTTCTTCATCTTCTACATTGATTCTCATTCCCAGGACAGCTGCTTCTAAATCTTTATCTTCTCTGTTCCCAGTTCTCTTTCTAGCGTATCCAGAAGCCTGAACTTCGACATCTAAACTCTTTACCCTAGAAACATCTCTCTTGAAATTTGGATAAGCATATTTATATCCATCACCATAACCTTCCGTATCAAACATGGTCGGATCGTGTTCAGGTTCATACCTAAATTTCTTCAGAAAGAAAGATTTTATGCTTGCAACGTCTCTATCAAAGTAGACTTTGGCATCCGTATGGTCGATAGAAACACATTGCGGGAAATCGATAACAACAAAGTCAAATTCATGCTTAGAAGCATCTTCTTTGTCACGTATAATAATATTGAATTCATTAAAATCACAATGAATTAACCCGTGGTTAGCAAGCTTTACGATAAAGTTCATTAAATCAGAATATAACCTCTTGAAATTATCGTGTTTACGTAAATGCTTCATTGGTATACCTTTGATCCATTCCATCATTACCGTATGTCTAGAATAATCAAATGGTTGTGGAACTGAAAACCCATTATCGTATAATATAACCATAAACTCAAACTCTTTGTTGGCAGCTAAGCGTGATAAATACATCCAGTTGGATGACTGTCTATTTCTTAAATAATCACGATTATTCTTCACAGTTGTAAATGAAGTTCTTCCTAACCTATGGATTTTCAACACTTTCTGTTTCCCATCTGTATCACTCACTGAATAAATATCAGACTCTTTACCCACACCAATTATGCTACCAACCGAATATAACGTATTCCTATTTAACATTGATTTCAATGCCAAATAATCGTACCCATTATAGGTAAGTCTAAAACCATCATACTTAGCATTTCTTAATCTTGATACCAACTTCAATTTGGCTAAATCTCCAATTGCTCTATTCGTTCCCGATGGTGACTTCAATCCACCAATGGAATGGATCATTTGTGTAGGAACTAACTCATGATTACGAGACCCTTGCTCAATAGCTTGAAGAACTCTAAAGTCATCAGCGGTAAGATACCGCATATGGGAAGTATCAAGCTTCATTATAACTATGGATTATCTATTCTAAGTAGTTTGTGGCTCAATATCAACTTGATCTGAAATATTTCCAAGCTCATCTTAAAAAAATGATAGTCGTGGTTCGCGGTCCCGTGAGAGTTGATACGATCAACATAAAGATTATAGTATAGAGATAAGAAATACTATTTCAATTCCCATGACGAATGCTAAGATCAAGAAATAGAAGTAAAAGGGTGAAACGATATGGAATTAAAAAGAACAGACAATTGTTAAAAAAGGTTCAAAAGGATGATAGCTGGGCATCAAAATCAACATTCGGCAAAGATCTCCTGAAGATCGGTATCAAGAACGATCTTTTTAAAGACTCAAGCTCAAGCACTACTTACCCTTGGATAAGATTGGCACCATTACTGGAATACAATATAGCTAAAGTTTCTAGGTCAGGAAAGGGGATCCCATCGCTCAAGCTGATTTGTTCTAGAAAGATAGCAGAAAATGCAGATTCGTTGGAATCCTCGTATTTGGATACAGCATCCTGGATGGTTTGGCGACAGGTATGGGAAGAGATACTTTTATTGCGCAATGATTCTCCTCGTGTCTTCAATATTTTTGCTGGCAAATTTTTCTTGCTGGATGGGTTTAAATGCCATACATTATCGTTACCATTGGACATTAATGTGGGATCATCAAATTGGGAGAAAGTTCTAAAGGCTAGAAATGAAGGAATATCTTCTGTGATAATTCCACGAACTAGAAACCACCGGGTTGAAAATCTATTTTCTAACATTAACGTACTAGAAATAATAAAATTTATACACAAGTTATCATATCGGCCATGGGTTATACTTGATGCGTCTTTGATGACACGGAAATATGATAGAGAAGAGCATCTCAAACTTTTCAGTATTACAGATTTAGTTGCATTAGATTTGTCAAACAGTCAAATAGTGGATGATCATTTTCTATATAACATGTCTGTTAGTATCAGTAAGGATGGAAAGTTATCGAAGTTAACTATTTTAAAAATCAATAATTGTCCCAATGTTACAAGTAATGGAATTCAGTACTTACTCCATCTTGCAAATGATCCAGATGCTAGATGTTCCCTTTCGTATATTGAGTCTGATGTGAAAATATCCTCTTCCAATTTTGCTACCAAACTTCAGAACATTAAAAGTGAACAACCTAATTTCATAGATGGTACAAGATGGTTTGAACTAGGGGATGACCAAGAATCTAAACCGATAAAAAAATTTCCTTTGGCACTTAAGCTTCACTGCCTTTATAAAAATTACTCAAGCAGAATTACCAAAGACCCAACCGCATCAGACTTTCCTCAGTATACAACAAATTCCACGGATTACTTGTTTCTGGTTAGAAATAATATTGTCTTAGATATAATGGTTCATGATAAGGTTTTTAATTCAGATGAAGATGATGTTCAAAAATTAAAGGAGATCTGGGATACAAGGATTCACTTTCGAAACCTGAAGCCACAATCCAAAATATGTTGTTATGTCATTGATAATAAATGTGAGTTTCTGGTTAAACTGCCAAACTTCGAAAAGCATGTATATAATAAGAAGGATGATTCTGTTATGTTTAGAGCAAGTGAGAAAAAAACCCCATTGAGATCTATCTCAAAGCATAAGAGACGGAAGCCTGTTGCTAGAAAAGTTGATGCGAACCAGTTCTTTGATATGTAACTATTGTGCCGCATTAGAATAAAAGTTGCTTAAACATGCATTGGGTGCTAATAAACTAAATATTTATATATGTAATGCAAATAGATATAAACATTTAATGTTTCATAATGCATAAAGTTCGCTCTCACGACCTGCCTCCTTTAAGCAAGTCAAGCAAAGTACGAGCTGATGAGGCTTGCCCATCAGCGGGACGTGATTTTGGACTACTTGCATCATCTTTAGAAGGTGGTTGTATTGGATTTGATACCACTGGTTGAGATTGCAAAGTACCAAACTGTGCTCCCTCAATTTCATCTAGAGTTAATGCACTTGGTGGCTGTGGTGTTTGTGCCTTAGGTGAAGGTTGGTAACTCAGCTGTACAGGAGGTTTTTTCCCAAGTAAACTCAATAAACTTGCCGAAGCAGGGTTTGAGCTGTTATGCGATGGAGCAGTAGATGGGGAATCGACCTGCGAGTTTATAGGGAAACCAGAATTCGAATTTTCGAATGGTGAAAATGCAGTCCTCTCAGCTGCTGAGTTTGGAGAAAAATATCCCGGTGAAGGTTGATGATTCGTTGGAGGGGGACCGTAAATGGAACCAAAGTCCGTGGGGTTCGGAGAATAACTATAATCTTTAGGTATGTCTTGATTTACTTCATTCTTGTTCTGGTTTTTTCCACCATTTAAAATATCTAATAACAGCCTTCCATCATTTACATTGTTTTTATTCTGATGTGTCTCTTGAACTTTATTTATAGTTAGAGAAGGTTCTTGTGGTGAAGCATCAGCTTTACCTAATATGTCATTTAAACTTTCACCTGGTTTGAGAAGTCTAATCTTATTCTTCTTAGCCTCAGGTACAGACTTCTCTGTACGAATATTTTTAATTTCACTTATATTATTGGACGAATTTTGAGGGGTTTCATATATATCCTCATCATCACTTTCGATGTCAAAATTATGACTTGCTCCATTGTGAACGTGTCCCTGGTGAGATTGGTATTCGTCAAAATTTTCAAAGTCTTCAAAATCCTCGAAATCTTCAAAATCTTCTGGTTCTGGGCTTGAATTTACTTCACAATTTTTCTCGCCATTGATAGATTGTGGTTGATCTTTAACGTTTTCCTTTTGTTCAAAATCATTGTTAGGTTTCAGGTTAATTAAACCTAATAGTTCCTTGGCCGTCGTCCTATTCGTTATATTCTGGTCAAGCTGTTTTTTATTACCCTTCAACAATTCCAATATTTCATTAGATTGACCACGATTGGTATCTTCTGTATCCTTTTTGGGTTCATCTTTGGGCTTGCTACCAAGCATTTTCAAGATATCAGCAGAGGCAGAGTTATTAGATGACATTAATTCAGATCCTGCATCAGTTGGCCTTTTCAAAAGTGTCAACTTTTTACCTGGTTCAACTTTCGTACGATTAGTTTTCTCATCTGAACCCATCAACGATTCCTCTAATTCATTTGAAGCTTTATGTGCATTAACAAAATCATGATCGTATCCATTAGATGATCCATTTTTGCTTTTACCTTTAGGATTGTTATGAATACTTTCGGTATCTTGAGCATCATCAGTTGCAGTTGTTTTATCTTTATTGAACAAACTCAATAAATGTTGTGCTTTAGATCGATTACTAACTTGGTCATTGGCTCTAGTTTCATCAGACATCCTGATGTTTTCCTCTTCCTTATTTCTTGGTTTATTTAATATAGACAAAAATTCCTTTGAATTGACACCTGATGGCCTTCTGTTGGCGATAGAGGTTGGTTTTTGTAAAGACTGAGGATTAGGTTGTTGGTTTATATAATCACTAGATAAGGAATCTTGTTGCCTTGGAATTTGTTGAGCCTGTGGGGGAATAGGTTGATAGTGTGGTTGGGGTTTTACAGGCGACATATTCATAGGATTAAATGCATTCGGAGGCATCTGTGGGACAAAAAACGGTTGATTTGGAATAGGATAAGCCTGGGGTTGAATAGGTTGATTGTTAAAGAAAGGAAACAGTTTATGCAAATGTTGAGGAAGATTCATTTGAATAATTTGATCATACGCAGCTGGCATAGTTTGGGTGTTATTACCCATATGAGTGTCTCTTGGAGCAACACCCTGCAAAATATTCAACAATTCTCTACCCGCGTCTAAGTTTTCTTGCTTTGGTTGGTTAATTCCAAGAAGAGATTTCAACTTGATTTCGGCCTGCAACATTAACTCCTCCTCGTTCAAAACACCCTTATTTTTATTAATCCATCTGAGCATGGGCTTCAAAATTGCAGAAACAATAAAGAAGTTATTTGGATTTGATCTTGATTTCTTTTGTATGCTCTTCATGTCATGCCACTGGATTTTGGATATTTCATTCCTAGCGAGCGGTTGAAAGTTGTAATCTTCAGGCACGTTTTTAATCAAGTAAATTTTGTAATTTTTGCCCTTAATTGTTCTCTCTATCACATCATTCTCATTAATGAGATCCCTCGCATTGAATCCTGTCTCTTCTTCAGCTTCTCTCACTGCACAATCTATATCGGATTCGTCTTTGGATATCTTGCCTCTTGGAAATGACCACGCATTCGACTCTGTTCCCTTTACCAAAACTACTTTTGTTAAATCCTTATTGAATAATGCAACACCTCTAACCGGAATCGTCGACTTATACTTACCAAACCGCGATATAGCGTCCGCAGGATCTCCCCATTTCCAAATTAATGGGCACTTCTTCAAGAGTTTCGTAGCAAAACTCTTCATCTTCATACTAGGTAATAATGGATTTAACTGTCTGACAAAATCTGTATAAAACCATTGTGCTTCTTCTATTTGGAAAAACACTCTTTCTATTGATGATAAATCTTCATCGGGTACATTCACTAAGAACCTCACAAGTAAGTCTTCTAGAACTAGGTCAACGGATTGATTAGCCAACCCATCGGTTAATTGAATAGACATTGTTTCAAGACTTGATTTCAACTAATATAGATTGTTTATAATTAGCATTAACTATTTGATTAGATGTCTATTCAACATAATCTACTAGAAAACATATATCCAATCTGCTGTGAACGTATAAAAGTGCGGGTAACCTTTGAGCCAGAAAGAGTAGCGATATCAATTTCACCTTATATATCTAAAGTATGGTATATATCCGGCCAAGCTAAGGAAAGAATAGGATTGAAGAGCGGTGATGATTAAGGTTCAGACAAGAGCATTCGCACAAGTATCCAGGTTGCTTGATATAAAAACACCAAGGTTTACTCAAACACTTAAAGAAACAAGTAAGCCCGCCTTAACCAAATCACATCTGATTACGAGACCATTTGGGTTGGATTCAGCTATAATGATCAACCAGGCAGGCCACGGAATGACTGGTCTTGTTTCAAACAAAATGTTTGGATCAGATGCTAAAGAAAGAAGACAAAAGCAGTTGGACTACGAAATAACACATTCTCCATTCTATGAGTCTAAGTCGTTTACCAATACCAATGGGAAGATCTTCACGCCTCCGGTGTCATTTTTCAAGCGTGAAAAATCAAAGTATTTTCCTAATTTTGTTGGCACTACAGTGGAAGGTAAAGATCAAAGCTTGTTCGGATTGTTAGAGGGCAAAGTGAGTATTGTGCGGTTATATTCCACTGTGTCGGGCGAAAGGTGTTCGGAGACATATTTCAATGTAGAAGGACAGAATTACTTAACATCTGGTTATAGTGCCTTTGAAACAGAGCACCCAATGTCTCAAATCATAGATATAAACATTCCTCAGAACTTGTTGAAGGGCCTTCTCGTTAGATTATCCAGAGGAAGCATTAAAAGATCAATTCCTAAACAACGTCACAACAAGTATTTTGTAGTTTCAGACAAGTTATTCCTGTTTGATATCAGACAGAAAATTATGTGTGATAATATGTGCTCTGGTTATATATACGTTCTTGACCATCAGGGACATATTAGATGGGCCACTAGTGGATATGCTGATGAAGCAGAGCTCAAGTTGATGTGGAAGTGTGTTAGGGGCCTCGAGAAGGAGTTAAAGTCCTTGTCAATTTAGTCTTGCATATATTTTGTACATAGATAAACACTACAAAAAACATGAATTCCGTATTCACCCTTTCGTAGTTCATTGCATGTGAACCCAATGACGTGAACAAGGGCTGTGATTGTTCTCGGTATCAGCATTAATAACGCAAAACCATTCTGTAATCCTCTGTATCAACTTTTATAGAACAGCACCTTTCAAAACCAAATTATTTACGATCTGTACGAGTATACTTAACTTAAATTTATTATTTGAGAGGCGAATGGGTTCACAAAATACTATATTTAATAAAATGACCGGATTCTTCGATCGTATATTGGTGTGTAAACGCAACGTTCAACTAATGCTGCAAAATTAGAGCAAATGCGAATACATGCACCTTTATGTTTAGGCTAAAATTAACACAGCAAACAAGCTGGGAGGCAAAGGAGAAATCTATATTTAACGTAACAAAGGTTATTTCATTGATAAGATTGTATCCCGCCGTATTAAAAAAATGGGGGATATTTTGCTTCATGTAATTGTTTTCTGAGCCTCTATTTACAATTGTTTATGTTAGGTCCCTGCATTCTACATCTTCAGCTTATTTTTGTACAGCCTTTACACTTCCAAAAGATTGGTCATACTTCAGCTCTTCACTTCTAGAAAGATATCATCATGCCATCCAAGTACGTCATATATAAGTTAGCCTGTTAAATTTATCACTTGTATGTCGTATGAGTAAACACGTAGTATCAACACCATACTGTAGTAAAAGCCAATGCAAAGTGGCAGATGCTTATGATGATACAAGTGAAAATATTCCCTCATATCTTAGTTCCAGATTTGTTAAATCTTAATGTTGCGTAAATGCTGAAGTAGTATAATGTGTGCAATATTTATAGAATTCTGCAAATCTGGGTCTAAATAGATAAAAAAAGTATTTTTGTTCTAACTTATTTTTTGGTCTTGGGTAAACACAAGCATCTAAAATTAATGAATGATATGAACATACCCTCTTTTTTAATACGAAAGAGTTACATTGACAAACTGTAGAATGCATTAACGCTTCTCTTCATTTACTATAAAAAGGTAGAATTTTCAAGTCTATTATCTGTTTCAACTTGTAGGTATTAAATCCACTTGAGATAAAATGAAATTCGTATCTATTGTTACTATTGCTGCTATTGCCTTAACTGTCTTCGCTGAGGCAGACAATTTTGAACTCGACAGTGATGGTCTTGACGAGCGCAATGACCAACTTGGCGACGATGCTGAAAATGTTGCAAGGGCCCCTAATTCTTATAGGAATTGCAACAGATATTGTAAGGATGCTTACGACTATGGTAGAAAGTACGAACATAGAAACAACTGGAAAAAATACCTCTGTACTAATGACTTCCGTGGTAAACTTGATCGCTGCAAGAACGGCTGCGACAGGAAATATTATAACCAGCACTGGAGCCGCTATATTGAGCCTTACTACCACAAGAGATGCGATAGGCGTACATAAGACAGTTCTGTTAGTATTTAGGCGTTTATAATTGTCCAAGTTTTATGTTTTTTATGCAAGTTTTATGGTTTATTTCCAATGACGGATGCAAAATCCTCGTTGTAGTATAATGTAGGAGTCTTCACAGATACTGATAACCATTTTAATTATAAGTTGGAATCAGGAAAAACGGTATCTTGTCTGATAGTTTCAATTGCTGAAGTTCTCATTGCTTTGAAAGAATAGCCACATACTCTTCTATGTCTTCATATGCCACCATATTGATCCTTGACGGAACCATTAATACCAAATAATAGGGCTGCAACCCTTTTGTACAACACACGACTTTAATGAAATTTTTTTTTTTTGTGCGCTTTCTCATGCTCTAGTGTAGGAATTTTTCAACCCATGCGATGAAAACTATACTTAATTCCTTTTGAAATCTAACAACGTCGAACAATACCGTCAAAATGTCAGCTCCAATCAACAAGGAAAAGGTTCAAGATCAAGAACAAGAAATTCTTAAAATCAGAATTACTTTAACTTCTACCAAAGTTAAGCAATTAGAAAACGTTTCTGCTAACATCATCAGAAATGCCGTTCAAAACAAAATCGTTAAGAAGGGACCAGTTAGAATGCCAACCAAGGTTTTAAAGATCACCACCAGAAAGGCTCCAAATGGTGAAGGTTCTAAGACCTGGGATACCTACGAAATGAGAATCCACAAGCGTGTCATTGACTTACAAGCTGAAGCTTCTATTGTCAAGAAGATCACCCAAATCACCATCGAACCAGGTGTGGATGTCGAAGTCACCATTGCTGCTTAAGCAGACTGGCGACTTTAACTTGCGGTTTCCAGCTGGCAGAATGGTGCCTGTGGTGCGCAAACGATAGTGGGGATCTGGAAAGTATATATTGTGGGATGTGAGAGGTTGCCATGGACTTAGTCTATGGGTGGTCTTGACTTCGGGGACATTGTATCCAAGTGCTCTAGGCGTGCCGTGTGTTTTAGGTAACGCACAGACGTTGTGGTGTTGCTATCAGGATTTGGTACGATAAATCGTTTGTATATTATATGTAGCGTCTGCTAGTTTGTATATTTACTCAAAAATACATTTGTCGGTTTAATTCTAATAGTTCTACTGTATCTAATGTTCTGTAAGCGGGATTTACGACTTGTTCGTAGTAGCTGATACTACTAAGTCTGCCATACTTAAGAATCTTCTCCGGCGATTTTGTGTAATTTGGTCTTGTCTAATCAAGTTCATGCTCAAAGCAATTTATAATTAAAGGGTTACAGAGGTAATCTATCTAATTGATTCATAAAACATAACTGATATATAATATGGTTTTTATACTAGCAGTTAGACCTAGGCTACTTTACATAGCCAACAGACAAATACAAAATAACAAGCGATTAATATCATCCAGTACCCAAAAACTCCTCCAATCATCTAGTACATTATCAAATGCATCGAAAGTAAACAGACAGGTGACCGACAAGACAAATAAGCTCTTTAAGAAGAGACACGTTGCATTGGTATCGGGAATTATAATTATTGGGTCATATATTTCGTTCAATCAGTCGAATTATTATAATTTGGATACGGTTCCACCAGTTGGTGGGGGTAGAGGTGCTTCCGGGATCAGTCCTAAACTTTTCCCACCATCGAATAACACGGTGATTGGGGATGACTCGAGATACTTTTCTACGTCCACAAACTCCATGCATCAAAAGAATAGCATTGGTAACCAGCAACAAAAACAAGGAGTGTTTTTGTTGAATGACGAACAAGTCAGCAAGAAGTTGAGACAATTCGAAGAAAGTTATTCTGTTAATAGAGGTAAGGGTGTTACAAGATATGATATCTGCCAGTTGCCTTCTAACTCGCCTATCGAGGATGATCGGGCAGAAGAGATTGTACAAGTGCCTATCTTGCAGGATAACAACATCAAGACTTCCACTGATTGGATGTTTTTCGGTGTCTTTGATGGACACGGTGGCTGGACTACTAGTAGCAAGTTGAGAGACCAATTGATTAGCTACATTGTGCATGAGTTGGGAACTATTTTCAAGCCAACAAATGAAGATAACTTGCGATACGTTCCTAATGGTGCTACGATCGACCAGGCGATCAAGAATGGGTTTTTGAAGTTGGACCATGAAGTTGTCAATAAGAACATGGAAAAATTATTGAACGATAATAATAAGGCCAAGGCGGCAGAATTGTTGATGCCAGCATTGTCAGGATCGTGTGCGTTATTATCATTCTATGATACGAATTCCAAGTTATTAAAGGTGGCCGTTACTGGGGATTCCAGAGCATTGCTTGGTTCATTTAAAGATAACCATTGGACTGTCAGACAATTAAGTATTGACCAAACCGGTTCAAATCCAACAGAAGTTGCTCGTATCATCAGTGAACATCCCGACGAGCCTAACGTGGTGAGAAATGGAAGGGTTTTGGGTACTTTAGAGCCTACCAGGGCTTTTGGTGATTGTCGCTACAAATTACCTGCATCAATTCAGGAAAGAATTTATAAGCAGTTTTTCGGCAGAAGACTTCCAAACAATCTTAAATCACCCCCTTACGTTACCGCAGAGCCAGTCATAACTACCACCAAGATTAACCCCGAAAACAATGATTTCTTGGTGATGGCATCCGATGGTTTGTACGAAATGCTCTCAAATGAAGAAATTATTGGCCTTGTGGTTAAGTGGATGGAAAAAGAAAAAATGGTTAAGCCTCAAAAGTCATTCTGGAATTACTTTGGATCAACAGAGAATAAATTACCGGAGGTGGCTGATATCACTAATGATAAGTCTTCAAAACAACCATTTAGAAAGAATAAGCAATCTGGTGGATATGGAGGTTTCTTGTTAGAAGATAGAAACGTTTCAACTCATTTGATTAGAAATGCCTTGTCTAACGGCGGTTCAAGGGAACAAACATCTATGTTAATATCTATTCCCAACCCTGTCTCAAGACGTTATAGAGATGATTTAACTGTCACCGTCGTTTTCTTTGGCAAGGATCCAAGAGGAGAAAATGAAGCTGGAAAATTAGAAATAAATGCTGATGCTACCGCAGGTGGTATCGATTCAGCTAAACCTAAATTATAAATAACTAGCAATATTAGAGTTGATTTATATATACCCACTGTTTATACTGTACATTATAGCATTCCTAATATAAGTAGGATTATTTTTGATGGCTTTCTACTTGTAGTTGCAATTTTTGATTTTCGCTCCACGACTAAATAAATTAGCATTTTATGAAATATCATTTTCCACAGCTTTCATAGAGTGGTTTAATTCAGTATAATTCTTTGAAGTGAAGTATTATGACTGACTCTATAGATATAGAAGAAGTAGGAACAATGCCTGATACATATAATAACATAAGGGACCCTTATACAAAAACAAAATTTATAGAGCAAGAACCATCCAAGGAAGATATAAATCAAGAGATCTCAGATGAATTATTAACTCCTTCGAACCAGTTATCTTGGGACTTGTTAGATTTGGTTCAATCTTTGCCACAAGTAAACCAAAACAAACTCTATGATGGATTGCTAAACGTGCCAAATCCTATTAGTAGGACATCCTTTAGATTTAAACGGTCAGGCATCGCAGGTACAATTGATGGGTATAAAGAGGAATTGCGTCTTTCCGAATTAGATAATGCAAATTCTAGCAACTCATTATCCGTCAATAGGAAATTTACGTCTAAAAATGATGCTTTGAGAGGTAAATCGACATTCTTGCCGTTTCAACCCGGTGGTTTGTTGGACAAGAAATCGATGATTAATGCAGCAAAGGATGAATCAGCATTTTTGCATAGAAACGAGATGGGGTTATTTGATATACCTCAAGGTCTATCTAGGGGTTTAAATATACTGGATTCAACAGTTCTGGATGATAATATTGCCAGTTTAGAACAAATTAAAGAAACTCAAGATTCTCAACCCGAAGAATTAATATCTGAAGGAAAGAATTTTATAGAATCAAATAATCTTTTAGAACAAGATTCCAAATCCGATAACCGTCTTCCTTTTGAATCAGAAGATATAGATGGTATCGTACCACTGGATTATGCATATATGAAACAGTCGATTGACCAAGCGCCAGAACAAAAGAAAAGTTGGGCTCATGTCGTTGATTTAGATCACAAATTAGAAAACTTCAGAGACGTCATTCCAAACATGGCTCGGGAATGGCCGTTTGAGCTTGATACTTTCCAGCAAGAAGCTGTATATCATTTGGAACAAGGAGATTCAGTTTTCGTTGCAGCCCATACATCAGCCGGTAAAACAGTTGTTGCTGAATATGCAATTGCAATGGCTACTAGAAATATGACCAAGGCTATTTACACTTCACCAATTAAAGCATTATCAAACCAAAAGTTCAGAGACTTCAAAGAAACTTTTAAGGACATAGATGTTGGTTTGATTACCGGAGATGTTCAAATAAATCCGGAAGCCAATTGTCTTATTATGACAACTGAGATTTTGAGGTCTATGTTATATAGAGGAGCTGATCTTATCCGTGATGTGGAATTTGTTATTTTCGATGAAGTTCACTATGTGAACGATATTGATCGTGGTGTTGTCTGGGAAGAGGTAATTATTATGTTACCAGATCATGTGAAATACATTCTTTTATCAGCAACTGTTCCTAATACGTACGAGTTTGCAAATTGGGTTGGTAGGACAAAACAGAAAGATATATACGTTATTTCAACGCCTAAAAGACCAGTTCCATTAGAAATATTCATATGGGCAAAAGATAAATTATTCAAAGCTATTGATGCCAATAGAAAGTTTTCAGATATTGAGTTTAAAAAGCATAAAGAAATTTTAGAAAAGGGAAATAAAAAGGAACCTCCCAATGTCACAATGGGAGCAGGTAGTCGTGGTGGACGTGGAGGAACCGCCAGGGGTGGTAATAGAGGTGGAGGTCAAGTAGCAAATAGAGGTAGAGGCAACTTTCTGGGCGGAAGAGGTGGATTGACTAGAGACGGGCCAAATAAAAATACATGGGTCTCGCTTGTGCAATACATGAAACAACACAACTTATTACCTGCTGTGATTTTTGTATTTTCAAAGAAGAAGTGTGAAGAATTTGCTGACACATTGAGCAATGTAGACTTCTGTAATGCAAGAGAAAAATCAGAAGTACATATGTTCATTGACAGAGCAGTTTCCAGATTAAAGAAGGAAGACCGTGAATTACCACAAATAATTAAAATCAGAGACTTCTTAAGTAGAGGTATTGCAGTTCATCATGGTGGATTATTACCTATTGTCAAAGAATGTATTGAAATATTGTTTGCCAAATCTTTGGTAAAAGTATTATTTGCTACAGAAACATTCGCAATGGGGTTGAATTTGCCCACGAGAACTGTTGTTTTCAACACATATAGAAAGCATGATGGCAGAGGGTTTAGAAACTTGTTACCTGGTGAATTTACACAGATGTCTGGAAGAGCAGGTAGAAGAGGTTTGGATGACACAGGAACGGTTATTGTTATGTCTTTCAATGAACCCTTATCGCCTACTGATTTCAAGGATGTAACTCTAGGTACTCCGACAAAGTTGCTGTCTCAATTCAGATTGACGTATAATATGATTCTAAACCTCTTGAGAATTGAAGCATTACGGGTTGAAGAGATGATCCAAGCACTCATTTAGTGAAAATTCAACACAGACTTTACTCCCAGAACATGAAGTCACTGTTAAGCGTTTATCCGAAGAGTTAAAAGGAACTAAGTTAGAGGATTGTTCTATATGTAATTTGAAAAATATAGAAGAAACCTACAATTTATTAGCTGACTATGAAGATTTGTATGGAAAAATCGTGGAAGAGATCCAGAAGCTGCCAATAGTCAGGAATACTTTGATGAGAGTTGGTCGTCTTCTTTGCTTTAGGGATAAAAATGATATTTTAAGAGTAGGTTTCCTCATTAGGTCCAATGTGTCTGATAATGCTTTGTTAGTGTTAACCTTCGATCTTGGTGAAGAATATGAGAAGGATAGTGCTGCTTATAAATTGCCTTGGATTCCACATTCTTATTATCTCAGCCATTTTATGAAGAAAATGGTCTATTCTGGATCTTTAAGAGTAGAATCTGTTCCTTACAATAATATAGGTTTTATTGGCCGCTATTTTTTGAAAGCTAATATTAAAAGTATATTGCAGAATGATTCAAAAATTATTGCTGAAGCTGTGGAACAGATTCAAATTTTATTGAAATTCCAAAATAAGTGGGACGAAGTTGGATTTTACCAAGCCACACAATTATCCTTACATGAGCTTTTGGAAAAGAAGGCACCAATTCTCGAGAGAATCCACGAACTAGAGTCTTTCGAGTGTAAGAATTTCAAGGTTCATTACCAGCAAATGCACAGACAGGATGAAATTAAATCTGAAATAAGTACATTACAACGGTTAATCTCTGATGAAAATTTGGAATTGTTACCAGATTACGAGCAGCGTTTGAATGTTTTGCAGTCATTAGGATTTATTGATAAGAATCAAAATGTAGTTCTTAAGGGTCGTGTTGCTTGTGAGGTTAATTCAGGTTGGGAATTAATTATAACTGAACTAGTCTTAGATAATTTCTTAGGTGACTTTGAGCCAGAAGAAATTGTTGCTTTGCTTTCTTGTTTCGTATATGAAGGGAAAACGAATGAAGAAGAAGAGCCTCCTATTACTCCTAGATTGGAAAAAGGAAAGACTAGAATTCTTGCTATCGCAGAAAAATTAATGAAGGTTTACGCAGAAAATCAAGTTCTACTTACTTCAGAAGAGGAAGAGTTTTTAGAGAGGAAGAGATTCGCGTTAGTGAATGTTGTATATGAATGGGCTAGAGGATTGTCTTTCAATGAAATCATGCAAATGAGTGTTGAAGCAGAAGGTACTATTGTGAGAGTAATCACCAGATTAGATGAAATATGCCGTGAAGTTAAAAGTGCTGCATTAATTGTTGGTGATTCTACTTTGCATTCAAAAATGTCAGAAGCACAAGAAAAGATTAAGCGGGATATTGTTTTTTGTGCATCGCTTTATCTTTAGTTCATAGATCACTTTTATATATCACAGAATATTATTTTTTCGACAATATATTATACACTATAAATACAGATAAATTCTATGAAGCTTTTTATATACAATTAACCTAAATCAGGTTCTTAGCTTTGTTAATGTTTCGGTAGCAAGAGACACCAAGCCTGTCCTTCCGTTGATAATTTTGCCATAAACTACCTTTTTCAACACATCTTCCTTATTGAATTTCACCGATAATAATCCTATCATAGTATAAAAGCTTCCTATTGAGGTGGCATCCTGAATTTTCACTTTTCTCTTCTTATTCATTTCAGACGAGTGAATCATACCACACCTCATGGTTCCTTGATAAGGAAGTATGCAATCGTAAATAAAATTACGTTTCATGAATAAAGGTATTATTTCCCTATCGTCATTAAATAGGTTCATTGTTTGCTCCAAGCTGTCAGACGGAAGCGAAAGATATTTTTCGTCAGCAAAGATGGTACTGAGTCCAAGGTGAAGATCAAATATAGCCTTTCCAATATTGCGGAGCTTTTCTGTTGTATATTCTTCACCTTCTATTAAATTTGGAAATAATTGCTCACCGGTTGAATTATTTGATATTTTATCCGTCTTGGATACATTATTTTTACCTCGTTGTTCGAAGATTAAGGGAAAATTTGAAAGACCACATAGTATGCTAAGCTTTTCTTTTAATGACAATGGAAATTCATCCCCCACGAACTGCTGAATATGTTCCGTTCTAGGAGCTATCCTAGACTCGAAATCCTTATCCACGTCTAAAACTTCTAGAATTCTCGTATTTCCCAGTCCCTTTCGATCCAAATATTCAGATTCAAATTCGGAAGCTGCTCTTCTATAGAAAGACGGCTTCAGTCCTTCATAAGGAATTTTCTTGTATGAATTTATTCTAGTATTCTCCTTGTATAAATCTCGACTCAGAATAAGCGCCGAATCAACAAAATTACGCCCAGCTTCATTACTTGTATATGACAAAAGAGCTTTACTCGCTGTTCTTATTCTGACTTGAAATCCTCTATTTGTTTTCGAGAGCATGAATTTTATATTATTCTTTGCATTTATATTGACATGTGTTATGTTGTAAAGATTCAAGGATAAAATCACAATTTACGTTACTAAAGTATAATATACAATCTATAGGGTTTACTAAGTGTATCTTATAATAGGCTAATATTGAAAATAAAAAAATAGTTGGGTAACGTGATCTATCAATATTTTTATTTCATCAGATGGGACATATTTAATAGAAGAGTAATTACGATAGGAATATATATAGAATGTCTTCTAAGTCCGGATCATCAGCTTCGAAGAAGAAAGCAGCGTCGACTCCAACTTCAGAGTCGTCAACAAAAAAAGTGAAAATACCGAAGAATTATATTGTTAGGCCATCAACCACCAATTCAGCGAAGTCATCGAATAAAGTATATATCAATGGTGAGATATTACAAGCATTGGAAATTGCAAGTGGATCAATGGTGTACATTTCAAAGGTATCTGGAGGTGAAGCAGGTATTTTGGGAACAATATATGCTGATAATGATATTATAGATAAGAACATTATTGGAGTCTCGACGAGTTTGAGGTGCTTAGGAGGACTTTTGCTTGGTGACCGAATTCAAATCGATAAATACGAAAGCCAGCCTGAGTATGCCAGTTCAATGGATATTTGGATTCAGAGCGATCTGGATGACAGTGTGAAAGTCGAAGGGAAAGTTTCGAAGGCAGTCGAGAAGTTATTCAATGAAATAGGTATAGTGTTTCCAGGCCTCAAATTAACCAATGTCAGTATACCAAAAATGATATCGATAATGATGAAGAAAACAGTAAAATTATTTGTACAATTAAGATTACTGATATACTGGGCAAGGAATCTTTGGAAGATTCACTCAATAAATTGTCTATAAATGAAGAGAGAGAAAGTGAGATTAGTAATTCTCTGACAGTCTCCACTCCATATATCTTTAACAAGGGTAAAACTCAGATAAATTCTTCTTCTATTAGAGAACCTTTGCGTTCAAAGTATCCTCAATTACCACAACCCGTGGGATACTCTCAGGTAGGAGGTCTTTCTAAACCAATTGCACTCCTCCAGTCCACTATTGAACTTCCATTGCATAACCCAACTTTATTTTCCGATTTTGGTATCTCTCCTCCTAGAGGCATATTATTACATGGTCCACCCGGAACCGGTAAGACTATGCTTTTGAGATGTGTTGCGAACGAGACAAATGCACATGTTTTGACTGTAAATGGACCATCAATTGTTTCAAAATACCTTGGAGAAACAGAAAATGCAATCAGAGATATATTTGAGGAAGCAAGAAAATTTCAACCCTCTATAGTATTTTTGGATGAAATCGATTCTTTAGCTCCTAATAGAAACTCAGACGACAGTGGTGAAACCGAATCAAGAGTTGTTGCTACTTTGTTAACCATGATGGATGGAATGGGTGATACAGGAAGAATCGTAGTGGTTGGAGCCACAAATCGTCCTAATTCTATTGATCCCGCTTTAAGGCGGCCTGGTAGATTTGACCAAGAAGTTGAAATTGGAATTCCTGATGTTGAAGCAAGAACTGATATATTGACAAAGCAGTTTGATAAAATGGACATGTCCAAATTTGACTTAACCAAAGAACAAATAACCTCCATTGCATCTAAAACTCATGGGTACGTTGGTGCTGACTTGACCGCATTATGTAGAGAGTCAGTAATGAAGGCGATTAACAGAAGCATGAAGGCTCACATTCCTCAACGTGAGATAAAGTTGGAATTCAGAGATGTGGAAGAAGCATTACCAGAAATCAGGCCATCAGCTATGCGTGAAATATTCTTGGAAATGCCAAAGGTATATTGGTCAGATATTGGTGGTCAGGAGGAATTAAAACAGAAACTCACAGAGGTGGTACAATTACCATTGGAAGCTGCAGATACTTTTAGTAAGTTAGGAGTTCTGGCGCCAAAGGGTGTTCTATTATATGGACCTCCAGGATGTTCTAAAACCCTTACTGCAAAAGCTTTAGCAACCGAATCTGGATTAAACTTTTTAGCCGTCAAAGGGCCAGAAATATTTAATAAATATGTTGGTGAATCTGAGCGTACAATAAGAGAAATATTTAGAAAGGCAAGAGCTGCTTCGCCATCAATTATATTTTTCGATGAAATAGATGCAATCTCAGGAGATAGAGAATCATCTGGTACTTCTGCTTCTCAAAATGTTTTAACTTCTTTATTAAACGAAATTGATGGGGTCGAGGAATTGAAGGGGGTTGTTATAGTAGGGGCTACAAATAGACCAACAGAGATTGATCCAGCTTTATTAAGACCTGGTAGATTAGATCGTCATATATATGTTTCCCCACCCGATTATGATGCCCGTTTACAAATTTTGACAAAGGGATGCTCCAAATTTAATTTGGATGGGAACGAAGTCAGCTTGAACACATTAGCAGATTTAACAGAAGGGTGTTCTGGTGCTGAAGTTGCACTTTTATGTCACGAAGCAGGTTTGTCAGCCGTGATGGAAGATAAGCAAGCAACTTGTGTTAAACAAAGACATTTCGATCATGCTTTGAAGGGAATATCTAAAGGTATTACCCAGGAAATGTTAGAATACTATAAAGCTTTTTCTAGTAAAAGTGGATTAAATATTTAGAATATATATTAGATTTATACATGCATAAGCTGTGTACTTAATAAATATTTATGTTTGTTTACAACCTTCTTCTAAACCCTTTTCAAGGTCTGGTGGTAAGTCCTTATCGTTAAAATCTAACCCATTACCTCCAAGTGCACCGCCTCCCATGCCACCAAATCCTGGGAAGTCACCTGCATCTCCAACAAGCTCAGTTGGAGGTTGCCCTAAATCTTGCAAAGATTCTAGTAAGCTATTTACTTTCTCTCTCTTTTCCTTATCTTCATCGTTGTAATCTGGGGCTTCGAAAATTGCTAAGATCTCTCCGGAAATTTCATATTGTTTAGTATAATTAGCATGCTCTTCTTCGGAGATTTTACCCTTTTTCTCTTTCAAATAATCAGGGAACTTTGAATGAAGATCTTTTATTGGCTCGCACAACACTTCCTTCGACGATAATTGTTCAAGCATATCGACCAATAACTTTGACATATCCAAATCGCCATCACCTCCAGCACCTCCTGGACCTCCAAGCCCAGCAAGCAATTGTGTTAACATATCTTCCGGTTTACCGCTCGACTGATCATTCTTTATTTGTTCATCAATAGTATCGCCCGATTTCTTCAATCTTTCCATCGTTTCTTTCATGACGTTATCGAAATTCTGTGGTTGTGATGCTGCTGCTGACTCTTCCTTATGATCTTCTTCAAATTGTTTAACCAATTGTTCAAATTGAACCTTAGTTTCTGGGTCTTCTATATTTAAGTCTTTAATCAAATCTTCAATTCTAGTTTTAAATTCGTCATTAAGAGGCTCATCTGCTGAAGTCTTCACCTCATCCTTTTCTTGAGCTTCTGTACCGACAGCTGATCCGGGTGGCTTATTCAAGACATCATCAGCAAAATCATCTAATAAATCATCTAAGTCGTCCAAATCGTCTTCGTCGCCAGCATTAGTTGATGTGGAGGCCGCTTGCTTAGCTTGACCAGTAGTTTGCGATTTTTGTTCTGTACTCTTCACAGTATCCTTCTGTTCGCTACTCAAAGACATCTTTGGTAAATAATCCAGTATGTTGTTGCTAAGAAGAAGTGTTAATTTAGAATTAAAATAAGACCGTCCGCTCTACTTTCATACTCGGTTCAAAGATTTACATGTGGGGGAATTCGCCTATAAAATCAAATGACCCGCTGAAAAATGGCAGATGAATCATAAAGGCTCTAATTAGCTTCCATACCGTCAATTACAATAAATATTCTTCCCTATGGAATTTTAACCTTCCAAGGTAATTATCATATGGAATCTTCGACTTTTATGATTGGAGAATACTACATATATCTTACTTTACACCTCATGTCCAAACTATGGTACATCGATAATTACGAAAAATTCAAACTGAACTACCCAAGACATCTTGTCATACGTTGAAGTCTATAATGTTCCTTGATCATGCCTTGTTCTTCTCATAGATCACGTATGTGGGTTTTGCATTCTTCTGAACCAGGTTCTATGTACAGTGATTTGATTTCTGTAGCAGGTCGTGTGCGACCGGGCAATATGAGGCCAAAGCGTAGTTTTTCATCAGTAATACAACAACAATAACTATACCTAGAATCATAGATATTGACTAAATCATCAAGATGTCGCTTTGTAAAACTCGTTTACAAGAGGAAAGAAAACAATGGAGAAAGGACCATCCGTTTGGGTTTTATGCGAAGCCTACAAAGGCGGCTGATGGGTCTTTAGACTTGACACAATGGACTGCTGGTATACCAGGTAGATCAAACACTTTGTGGCAAGGAGCTACATATCCAATCACTATAACATTTCCAGAAGAATATCCTTCAAAACCGCCTAAAATCAAGTTCCCTAGTGGGTTCTACCACCCTAACGTGTACCCAAGTGGAACGATATGCTTATCTATCTTAAACGAAGAACAAGATTGGAGACCAGCTATTACCATCAAACAGATCGTGATGGGTATCCAAGAATTATTGGATAGTCCAAATCCAGATTCGCCTGCACAAGAACCGGCTTGGAAAGCATTTAGTAAGGATATTGCTACATACGAAAAGAAAGTTAAAGAGCAGGCGAAGAGATACGCAAATGCGTCATAAAGCTTACGATAAAATAAGTCAAATACGTCACCCATTTTATAAACGGCGTAGATGATTTTGTATTCTACGATCAATATTGACATTGTAATTTTAATAATATATAAGACATATATCTGTAATCAGTCCTTACGAACTTGGACCAGAATTGTGAATAAAATAAAGATTAAATATAAGGAATATGTAGAAATGAATAAAAAAATAACATGATAAGTCTTAAGACCTTCTAGAAAATAGTCTTATCCTTCACTGTTGCATACTGTTTCTAACACATTCACTGTCTTTGATGAGATCTCTACTTTTGATAGTAGAACCGGTTGCTAGTTCGCCTAGCTGGGAAGTTCCTTTCTCTTTGTAAGTACTCACTGCTGGAATATCAGCCTTGATTCTACTAACTAAAGTTTGGTATGCTCCTGGTTCTATCTTAATTAACGTATGCAAAGGAATCGACATCCATGGGGATTCTTCTTGTGGTACATTCATGAAGTACGCATATAAACATCTTAAAACTGCCTGATGGGTAATAATTAAAATGTTTTCTTGTCTTTCTAATTCCATAATAATTGGTTCCAACCTGATTACAATATCACGGTACGATTCACCGCCTCTGTAACGATACTCATACTTGTTATCGTCTCTTGCCTTAAAATCTTCTGGAAACTTTTGCTCAATTTCCTCGTAAGTCATACCATCACACTCACCGGCATCTAATTCATCCAAAGCCTTCCACTGTAACTTCTTCTTATATGGTAAGAATGATGCCGTTTGCTGTGTTCTTTGTAAGGTAGAAGTCCAAACAGTAAGATTAGTATGTTTATTCTCTTCTCCAAAGGATTTAAGAACTAATTCGGGTAATTTCTTAGCGTAACGCCACCCTCTCTCAGAAAGATTAGCGTCACCACCGATTTGCCCAGTCAAATTAAATTCTGATTCACCATGTCTTGAAAGCCAAATGCATCTAGGCTTTATATGTAAGTTCATGACGTAATAAACAATACGACTTTCCAAATAACTTTCAATCTTATTAAGAATCACCTGGGAATTGACATTCACTAACTTAATGAACGTGAGATCACTGTCTGTCTCTCTGTCCATAGTTTCATATATTTCCTCATAATTCTTAATTCTCTGCAAAAAATCCTTGGTTGCATACTCCTCATCCTTATTCACATAATCAGTAGATGTAGTCTTAACATCAGCAATGTTCTGCAACACTAGATCCTTATCATCACACCAACTCTCCAAAAACATGGGTTCTATGTAATTTTCACGGCATAATTTCAAAATCTTGTCTCTCCTTGCTCTCGTTGAGTTGGTGGCATCCAAAATTCCAACAACCCCATTATCCTCAGTGAACCAATTCATCATGTCCTTCAACGCAGAATTTAAGGCCTCTTCTCTGTACTTCAACCCATTTTCGTTACGCGGGTCGAAAAATTCCGCCGTAGTCTTATCGCAGGAAACAAGCTTCCTTCTGTATGATCCAACATTAAAGCATTTAGATTTGATCGAGAGCCATGAAAGATATCTCACGATTTTTTGGGCAATTAATGATTTCCCCCGGGCTGGCAATCCAACCATAACCACACAGACTCTGACATTCTCAACATGTGAAATTGAATATACGGGCATCTTAATGTACCTATCTGGACTTTGATTTATCAATTAAGTTAAAATATATCCACTAATTTTTAGCAATCTCTTTAAACGTGGAGAATATCTTTAAAACCGGATTTTACTGTTGATAGCACCACTTATTTTCCAAATGTTCTTATTTTGCTTACTATTTAATCTGACTCAATATTAATCATCAGTCTTTATCTACTGTTTGATGCAATTCAATAATAATCTGTTATTAGAAAGAGAGCTTAAAGATTATCTTCAACAGTATTGACTATGAAAAATCAGTGACAAACTAAGAATGTCGTGTGATGTCGTCGACACAAAACATCACGAAATTGAGTTCTAACGGTAATTAAACACCATACAATAGTAGATATTGCAATACACTTCAAGTCTATAAAAATGCCTATGAAGAACCTTTTAAATCGGACAAAAAAGTCGGATAATAAGGAGAGAGATACTCCAGATGCAGAGGAAAGAGCAGTTTTAGATATACATCCGGTAACTTCATCAACAATGAGTACATCAACAGAGGAGTCGCAAGATTCTATTCATCAGCTACGGCCAATGTTCAGCTCTCCATTAGCCAAGCCCGAAGACGAAAGCTCGAATCCACAGAAATTTAATTTCACTCATGATACCAATTTGAATTTGAATCCGTCGATCCTGAATACGAACCTGCCACCTTCGTTAATGTCCAAAGACTCGGAAAACATGGTAAATTCTATGTATTCGGAAAGTAAGAAGACATATTCAACGAAACAGTCGTCATATTTAACACATAATAGTCAGAAAAATACAGGGGCTTCGTCTGGAATGAGAAACTTCGAATATGGACAACCATTGCAAATTTTAAATATTGCAGAAGAATCTAGAGAAACCCAGAATGTTAAAGGGTCTCTTGTAGATAAGCTCCATGAGTTGCATGGGGATCTTTTATTTTTTATGAATCAGTACAACAACTCGTCGACCAATTTGTCTACGACTGTGATCAACACAATAGATTGCTTCAAGAAATTTGTTTCCTATACTGAGAGTTTCGATTCGGAGTCTGAATCCTGGGATATAACAACCTTCAACAATGCGGATATGAGGAGGATAATGAAAATATATTTGAACTTCTATGATAATTTATTGGCAAGTGACGTGTATATAAAGTTAAAGTTGTTGCTCGTTAAGAACTTCAATGATTTTGCTGCAACGCTCAATAGTAAGAATAAACCTGTTGGTAATTCGGCACAAAATATAGTGAAGCCACAAAACTACGCTATCGGAATTAATCCTCATAAATCTTTACCCAATGAAGACTTGATAGAGAAAATTATGAAGAAAATTGCTTCTACATCAATTTCAGTAAAGGAGCAAAACGGATCTTTTATTGCACCAATAGCCAGAGGAATAAGTAAGGATTTACATATTCTTTGTTTGTATTTTGGATATCCTAATCCAACTGATCAGCACTCAAAATTATCACAAAGCTTGCATGATTTATATGATGATATACATGTGGTCGTTATGAAAAATCAGATAGAATTAGCATCCATTATGGCAGAGTCGGCAAATATTCCATTTTCTAATTATGATATATCGGAACCGCTGCTTCCTTCCACGCAAGTGGAGAATGTTGTGCGTAAATTCAAATTGCCCTTCCGTAATCCGACTGATAGTTCTTGCCCTCCAATATCTCTCTCATTATCAGTAGAGAATGCATCAAGGCTATCAGGTACTATGGGTGGTTATATTTACCCTAAAATTGACTTGAAGAAAGAACCTCACTTAGAATCCTATTCAAATTCTAAATTTGCTATTTCATGTGGACATGTTTGTCTTGACAATAAAGATGAAGATGTGAACTACCCACATGTGTCAGCGCCACTGGCGGTATTGATTTCGTTATATAAGAAAGCGCTATGGACCCAATACCAAAAGTTTTCGCAACAAGGCAATGATGCTTCCACGATGGAAGAAAGAGTTGCATACGGCTCGGTTTTGAAAAATTTAGATAAGATGTTCCCGTTGAAGAAAGTCAAAGTACCATATTCAAATAAAAGAGAAGGATATGAGATCAGAAATTTACCAGAGCATAGATTTGGTCAAATCATTTGGGGTGAAAGAACACTAATAAATCTGAAGGAAAGTGATAAAAGCAAACAAGATTCAGAGAATAAGTTGTCAGATTTGGCAATTATCAAAGTCAACAAGAACTTGAAATGTGATCAGAACTTCTTAGGAGATGATATCACTTTCAACGAGTACGACCCTGCATTGATGTTTGACAACCTTTATGTGAGGAAAGTGATTAATCTTAAGAGAGAGTCTGAAGAAATAAACATAAATGAAGTGGATTCTGTTGCATCGGTTAATTCTAATTATAGTGGATTGCCAATCTTCAAATATGGGTCGACAACAAAATTCACGAGAGGAAATTTAAACGGAATTAAATTGGTATATTGGTTGGATGGTGCGATTCACTCCTCTGAATTTGTGATAAATTCGGTGGATAGCAATACCGCTTTTGCCGCAGGCGGTGACAGTGGTTCGTGGGTCTTAACGAAATTGGAAGATTGTTCATCTGAATCAAATGCAAAGGGTCTCGGTGTAGTTGGAATGTTGCATTCGTATGACGGCGAACATAAACAATTTGGTCTATTCACACCTATGTGTGAAATTTTGGAAAGGCTCGAGACAGTTACCAATATTAAATGGGGTGTGGTTGGAGTGCCAGAAAAGGATGAGCGTATTTCGGGCCATGAATCTGATTCAAAACTGTCTGAAAATGACAATGATAGTGATAGTTCTGATTCATCAGAGGACACTGAGTATGAGAGTGGAGCAGAGGAAATGGAAGGTGCATATCCCCCAGAAATTGATTGATATTATGTATAGAACATATTAAAAAAATGAGACGATTTTTTATGAATTGATGTAGAAAGCTTTTTAATTTTTGATTATCGAAATTGAATATTCATTTAAACTGCTACCTAAAAATAAAATATATAAAGTTACAGTGGAAGGAATGATATGAGCAACAAATAATCGAAATAAGCAAGAACTATTGAAGAATTTGAAATATAATTTACCAAAATTTTATGGTTTTCTATAACCTTCGAAATAATATAATACCAACGGTATTTTTAAAATTAGAATTAGATTAAGATTGCTGCAACTGCAACTATGCCTGCTAGTGCTCCTGCTATATTCCTTGGTGCAGACCCTTCGGAGATTGAAGGAACTGAAGGAACTGAAGATGGTCCTGGGGTAGTAGTTGGTTCTTTAGTTTTAGTACATTCAGGGCATGTTTCGGTTGTGTAAGTGGTAGGCACGAGACATGAACCAGTCACAGTCAAGGTAGTGGCTTCTGGAACCGTCACGGTATGTGGAAGACATACATTACTACGGCATGTGGTAACAGTAACTGTGGTTGGATATGGACAGAAAGTTACAAAATCAGTGACTGTAATAGATCCAGTAACAGTTGTAGTAGTGTTAGGATAAAATGTTGGAGTTGGTGGTTTTATTGTAGGAACAGTGGACACGGAAAGCGTTGGAAGTGTAGCATTAAAGGTGGGTGGTACAACGGTTGAGATGGTTGGGTCATTAATGCTGATAGAAGGAACTTCACTTGTCGGATCATCGAGGGAAATAGTTCCAGAAGGAACTTCGCTAGTTGGGTCATCAAGAGTAATGGTTCCAGAAGGAACTTCACTAGTTGGATCATCAAGACTAATAGTTCCTGAAGGAACCGGGTCATCGAGTGTAATACTTCCAGGTACATCTGGTGTTCCTGGTGTAGGTTCTCCAGGTGCTATTGGATCAACTGTTGCTGCACTTGTGGCTGCAAATAAAGCGGCAATGGATAAAATGGTAGAGAATTTCATATTGGTAAATAATAAAGCGATCGGAATAATACTTTAATGATGAATGACATTTTTAGATCCCGATCTAGATGGATTTGAACCTCTTTATATACAAGGGTATGTTGCAAATTATAATTATGTATCTTGGCGGAGATAATAGACATCTCTAAAATTAGAATTATCGATAAAGCCATGTGCTAAATATAACTTTTCAACTATGTTAGCGTCCGTAAATAATTTTTCGGCTTATCATACATGACAGAACCCTTATTTACATTCTTATTTATAAAATAAATATCGGTATTATGGCTTTACCCTAGTTGCATACATACGGAGAATCTATCAACGCCCCTAAAGGGTTACTAATTAATTATTTTTTAAATATCCTTTGGGTTTTATTCTTGATCTCTAAGAGTTCAGTACCTATCAATTAACTAGAGTATATTTATTCTACATATTTTGTCTCTTCACTCGATATTAGTAGTAGATATCTAGCACAAGATGTGGCCTTGTGTAAATATAGAAATATTTAGAAACGAGGTACCAGATACTAGCGATGCTGTCTTCGCTTGTATAGTATTTGAACCATCGCCGTCAATTACATTGTCTTGTCGCTAGTTAAAGCCCGTCTGCCGAGAGTCGTAAGCTGTGAAAAGTTGTCATTTATTTTCAGGGTCCAAAATATATCTATTATTAGAAATTAATTTTTAATTCGCATGTCCATTTAGTATGGGGTCAATGCATTAAATTAGTCGCTCTTGGCGAAATCAATGCAGCATACTTACAACAACCTTCGAAATCATTAGCTGTTGATAAAGCAGCCTGTTGTGACTTGGTAATATCTGCGACAGAGTTTATATTGCATTTACAACAGTACGCAAATTAAAAGGGCTATTCACCCGCATGTATACTATAGAAACATAAATAAGATTCGATAATCATCAAAATTAATTCCTTTCGGATTGTTTATATTGAATGAATCTACCCAAATTGATCCATGTCTCTTCGGCTCTTATTTTCAAATGAGGGTGTCTATTTTTATCAATCTTCTTGTACATCAGCTTGATAGATGGCTCCAATGCTTGCAACCGTTCATTGTAGTTATTTTTGACGTAGATTTCATAGTCATATGAGTACGACATGTCTCCAAAGATCACATAAATCAAATTCAAGCACTCGATAGAGATTTCATTTGCTTTTGGTTCATCAGTTCTATTAGCTGCAAAGAAATCAGTACTCGATAGCAAGAACTGGGAAATGTGACCGGTGACTTCTGTATTATCTATGATAGGTGCCAAACTACCTAAGAAGCCTACCGAACATAAGAAGAATTCTAAAGTTGTGATATTATCTTCAGTTGGATCCTGCTTAGTTAAGTGATCGCAACGAGAGATTAAGCTTTCGATCATCGAGTTGTTTACTTTGGGCTGGATTTCACGTCCCAAGGTTTTGGTTATTCCCCAACATACGTTCAAACAGTCCTTCTGTATCAACAAATTGTCTTTTTTGGATGATATGTTAATGATTAAATCCCATAACTGTAATGCATCGGTAAACCACTCGGCTGGTATAGTCTCACTGGACAAGAATAACCAACATAAGTTGTTCAAACAAACAATTATTTTGTCTAGTAATTCAAGTGGCTCGTTGTTTTGCATTTCAAACTTTAATAATTCGATCAATGATGGATATGCCAACTTTAATATAACTTGAATCAAGTCTGAAGATAATGTCGCTGGAACCTGTGGGTTCGCTTCATTAAATGAAATGTACTCCCAAATTGAAGTAATTAAATCGATTGCAATTTCTAACGTTTGAATATCAACCTTAGCTTGAGCTGTTTCCAGAGTATCGCCCCCAATCTGTTGGTCGATATCTTTCATTTCTGTAGGTGCTCTCTTTTGAATAGGTTCCTTTGCATTATCGACAACCGAGAGATTTTTTTTCAAACTATCCAAGTTAATTGTGGTGATACATGAGATCAAGTTATTCAATATTTCTGTACCGGCAGCGTCTTTGTTATCAGTCTGGTTCAATGCCTCATATAAGTGAAATTTAATACCTTCAATGTACACTTTACCTAATATATTCTTAGACTGAGCTGGTGATGATAAATACTCAATTAGTCTATTCAAATCGAATTGAGGGTTTTCATTTAATTTTTGGATGAATTCAGTAGATTCTGACGCAAATTCGTAATTGAAATCCAACAAAGAATTGAATAACTTAACCGAAGTCTTCATTGTTGGGATGTTCCAGTTGATAAGATCAATAACCAATTTCAAAACTGGGTCTATCTTTTGGAAAACATTATCATACAAATCTTCGGATCCACTTGCGATAACTACGATTAAGGATAATATGTTTTCAGTAAAATCAAATAACAATTGTTCCTTGGATTTATCGCTTGTTTTCTTTCCCTTAGGTTTCTTCTCGTCATCTGTTTTAGCTGCTAATGGCAAAGACTTTGATTCTTCCAAAAATTTAAAAGATGTTTCAATCTTCTTTAAAGCTGCCTCAATTGCTGTCCATATATTTGATCTCCAGTAGTACTTGGTAACATCATATCCTTCTTCGATTCCGATGTTTCTCAATAAACCAAACGACTCAACTACAATTTCGTCATTGGAATCATTTAAACACTGTTCCATAATAATCAGAACCAATTTTTCTTTCAACAATAACTTTCTCATTCTCTCATCCTCACATAATACTGTGATTGCGCCCAATGCCATTGTTTTATCATTTGGAACAGATGATTTTAACTTGTTGATTAACGGTAAAATCTTTGAATTACGAGTATTTTCATCTTTAATTTCTTGCTTATCAAGATTCTTTTTACTGTTGTTGGCAATAGGATTCACTCTTGCCTTCTGGTTCTTTCTCCCTCTCTTAAGTTTACCCATATTGTATACACTGCTATAAATGAACCTTCGTAGGTCTTGGTTTACTGGTCTAAAAAAAATATTGTGATGAGCAGTCTTTAATAATCACGTGATTAGATTGATTCAGCTACGGGTTATGGGATTATCGAATAAAGCTTTATTACCTATCTATATATGAGAACTTTCCTTCGCCATTCATTGAATGTTTATTTCCGGTGTCCTTTAACTTATTTACTGTTTTCTATAGTTTCTTGCTTCTCTTTGTTAAATTCCTTAATTAATTCCTCTTTCCCGATTGTTGGGTCGTTAGGATGTAATGTTGTTCTTACCTTTTCTTTCAAATCGCTCCATGACTTTGGTTGATCTGAGGTATCACGAATGTAAACATCGTCTCTTAAATTACCATCTTTTTCTAAGCGTTCGCTATTCGTTAGTAGATGCTCTTCTGAACAGCTGAAAATATGTCCTACTTACATTATTAAAGGTTGCCAAAACTTCACACCGGTATACCAACTCAAACCAGCAACCAAACAAATTGTAAGAGCTTTACCACCAGCACTTGACATCGCTCTTATCTTCTATTTCTTCTTAATAAGTAAAGAGAGTGCTCTTATTCTACTCTACTTGAAGTCGCAATATTTGTGTTTGGATTTATATACACACCTCCCCATAACTTAGTACGTAAACCCATGTCTCTCTAACCAAGAACTAACAAACGTCTTAAATTGAATATAGATTCTATGTATCATTGGCTACACTTGTAATGATGTATGTATGTAGCTGACTTTTATTTTGCATAATAATCTGTTCAGATAGCTTTTGGCAAATATTTAAAGGTTTTTAAAAATCCTGTAAAACTTGTGTAAAACTTAATAAATTACGAAAATAACTACAAAATTCAGAATACAATCAATATATATAATGCCAATAATAACAAGTAACATATGGCACGCAAATTTTCTAAACTGAATTACAGCTAAAGTGGAAGATATATAATGAAAATATTACCAAAAATTACTACTAGTAGTTTTCTTAGTACAAGCAAGATGCATTCAGGAGTTTACGTGAAAAATGAGAAATAGTATTCTAGCCAATCGACATTATCTATTGAACTGCATGAACATTTCCTACCTGTCTAAGTCAAATTGTCTTACTTTGGTCAGAATACATAGTACTCATATAATAGCTGCGAAAATTGGTATTCCCTAAGTATCATCGGATCCGGGTAACATAAAATGTAGCCCATCTATAAAAGAACGAAATTCTTGCAAAATTTATAGGTTTCAGTTCTTTTCTTTAATCAAAAAGCTTATTAAAGCAAGGGAAAATTTGCCACGGCGAGATAATGTATATTGTCAAGTTATACTCGTTGCCATTTATTTATATAAATTTCATTTCCCGAGATAAGATTTAATCCCTATAGGAAGTTTGGAGTCCGTTGAGTCTTTTAAGTTAGGCGATGGATTCTGAATGTCGAAAAATGGGATACATAGTAGCTAATGTAGTTTTAGTGTTAAGAGTGTAGTTAAGAGATGAACGTTGTTTCAGCGGTAGATGAAAATGATTTCAACTATGGCTCAAATAGTAAGCTCAATTGGGGTAATTTTCAACAAGGCAACCTCAACATATCCGTATGAACTAAAGGATCGAAAACTTATCAAATACATGGTATCCCAATAGCTGTAGACACTTCTACATTTGAGAACTACAAAAAAGATTATAAAGCAGTTATAATATATATTAAGCCTGATCGGCCTATTTTAAGCAACCCATCAAATTAATTATACATAGAAAATAACATTTAGAATTTTAACAAAATCAAAAATTTAATCATATAAGCCTGAATGCAGATTTCCTCAATAATGTAACTTAACGGAATTTGTTGAAACCAATGTCAGAGGCTCTTTCTCTGAAACATTGACGACAGATGTTTAAATCGTATTTTCTAATTAAACCGGAGTGGGAGGAACAGACACGACATTGTCTTGAACCTTTACCGAAGTTTCTTGGGTGGGAAAACCAAACAGATTCGTGAGCCATTATGCTAAAATTAGTTAGTAATTGTTCATTTCTTCATGCACCCGAGAGTATCGTTCTATCTACGTCTTAATTTTCTTGAATTCCCTCCAAATTGTCACCATTTCAGATTCGTTCATTATAAGTTAGATCCAACATATCCTCTTCTTTGTTTCCATTCTTATCCGTAATTGTGTATTGCTTGTTCTATTGATTTCTTTGGCTAACACCCCAATAATCAGGTGGTGACATCGACTTCAGAACTTCGATATGACACATCCACAAAAACAATACATCAATCACATGGATCCAAATCAACATTCTGGCCTTTTTCTAAACCCTTGTCAAGCCCTTTCAAACCTTTCTAAAATTTTTCAAAATTTTTCATGTCCATTTCGAATCTACGATCTTCATGACTAGTCCTCAATTTAATACCCGACATATCAAACAAACTACTCTCATTCACAATTCATTGCTGTATTTGTACATACTATTTTGTAATATAGACTTTTTGGATATGTAATATTTCCTTCTAATTACTTAGTAGTAAATTTTATTACTATCAACACCTCAGAGTAACATTCTGACCATATTGCGCGTTGAGAGAGCACGACTGAAAATTTTTCTTAATATTACACAAAACAATTAACAGTCACTTTTATCACGAGCTCATTAGGTTAAAGTCCTAAGCGATATCATATGATACTATAGTCCATCGGAAAAGAATATTCAGAAGGGCATCGCTTCATCAGGTTAGAGATCAGGGTATAGATACGGTAATTGACGAAACCAAGTAGAAGATATGGCTAAAGGAGGTCATTCACATAGGTCCACATTGAAAAATGACCATAAACCTTTCAAATCAAAGCATGCCAGTAAAGGACAGTTGAAAAATCAGTACAAAGGAAAGGTGGAAAAAAGTGTTGCAGGTAGTAAGACCAATAAAGTGATGACGAAGACCGAAAGAAAGAATGCAGCCAGACAGCTTAAGGAAAATAAGATCAATGAAACTAAGGTTATACGGAAATTATTTGATGGGTCGCAAGGAGCAGAAAAGATTGTGACAGTGATTTCGTTAACGAAAGATATTTCAACGCAGGAGATAGTGTCGAGATTGGTTAATAGTGTAAAGGAAGAGAACGAGGATGAATTTACAGTTGGAATACCATCTGTTACATCAGCCAAGATCAACAGATTCAAGACCAATTTGAAATTCGTCGTACCGGATCAAACCAATTTACTTAATATATTAGATGCGGCCAAGATATCAGATTACGTTGTTTTCGGTATTTCTGCCAATGAGGAAGTGGACAAAGAATACGGTGAACAGATTTTGAGAGCTATTATTGCACAGGGTATTGCGTCTGTTGTAGGGGTTTTACCTAACGTTGTATCTGCGTATCCAAAGAAGAATTTGCAATTGGATATCAGAAGGTCGTTATTTTCATTTTTCACCCATTTCTTTCCAAACGAAGAAAAGTTATATGCATTGGAATACGACACAGAGTGTTTGAACTGTATTCGTACAATTTGCCAAAGATTCCCTAAGTCTGTCACCTGGAGAGATTCGAGACCATATTTGTTAGCTGACAAGACATCGTGGATGGCTTCCGAGAATGATGCGTCCATGGGCCACATAGTAGTTGAAGGAACAGTCCGTGGTGTTGGATTTAATGCTAATAGATTAGTGCATATTCCTGGTTTTGGTGATTTTCAGGTTGATCGTATAGAGAAGTTATCCAAATCTCGTTTTAACAGAAAGAGTGAGATGGACATCGATAACGAAGAAAATGAAGCATTTCTTCCAAATGAAAACAGGGAAACTTTAGAAGAATTAAGCCCCGAAGAAATTGATATGGAGGGTGAGAATTGGGATGACGAAAATGACTTTGGTGTTAGAATGGAAGGAAAGCATTACTTTGATGATGGAGCTAATGGATATGCTAGCAACTCTAAGTTACCTAGAGGAACTTCGGAATATCAAGGAAGATGGTTATTGGATGATGTTTTAGAGGACGCGTCTGATTTAGAGAGTGGGGATGAAGACATCGATGTTGATGAACAAATTAATGACGATGAAATGCAAATGGAGGATGCTCAGTCAGAATATGCTCCTACTGAAGCTGGTGATAATCAATCAGAAATGTTTGTAGACTTATCGCCAGAGGAAGAAGAGAGACAACTTCAAGAGTTTAGGGAGTCTGTAAAGGAAGATCTTGAATTCCCTGATGAAATTGAGATGGATCCATCAGAATCAGCTAGAGAAAAGTTAGCGGCATACAGAGGTATAAAATCATTAGCCAATTGTGATTGGAATTACGACGAAGAAGACGTTGAAGCCCCAAGCATATGGAAGAGGTTATTAAGAATTTCTAATTTTAAGGCCACAAGAAATAAGGTTTGCAAAGATGCAATCAAGGATGTTCAACTTAATATTGGTAACAAGGCCAGAATATTTATTAAAGCACCTTCTTATGTTATCGAAAAAGTCAATTGTGAACAGCAACCATTTGTCATTTACGGATTATTGGAACATGAACATAAGTTGGCAGTGGTTAATTTTTCATTCGAGGCATGGGAAGATTATGAAGATCCAATTCCTAACAAAGATACCTTGATTGTTCAGTATGGACCAAGAAGACAAGTCATTCAACCATTATTCAATCAAGCATCCAATAATGCTAATAATGTTCACAAGTCTGAAAAGTTCGCTCATCAAGGTAACCTTTCTATTGCTACATGTATTGCACCAGTTTTATTTAGCAATGCACCAGTCATATTTTTCAGAGCAGCCGCTGATGGTTCTCTTGAATTAGTTGGTCAAGGTACTTTCCTTAACTGTGACCATACAAGAGTTGTTGCCGAAAGAGCAGTTCTTACAGGTCATCCAGTCAAAATCCATAAAAAGGTTGTTACTATCCGTTACATGTTTTTCAACCCTGAAGATATTAACTGGTTCAAAGCTATTCCATTATTTACAAAAATGGGTAGAAGTGGTTTTATCAAAGAAAGTTTAGGTACTCATGGTTACTTTAAAGCTACGTTTGATGGTAAATTGAACGCACAAGATACCATAGCTATGAGCATGTATAAAAGAGTCTGGCCTGAGATTTCTGCTGGGTGGACTGATTAAATATTTGTAGATTGTCAGATAAAATCTTATAAATAGCTGTATAATACTAATGAAATGTTCTAAAGTAATTAATTACTAATATGGAATATGACGAATTTCTTTCGTGCGACTTCTTAACTTAGCGAGCTTATCAACTTAATTTGATGCCTCTTTCTATTAGAAAAGAAAGAATTATTATAAACTACTTGAATCATGAGTTCTTTTATGCCCCAAGGGTCTAACCCTCTAACATCTTCATTTACATGTAATACATGCGGTATCAGATTTGTTACGGCAGATCTTCAAAGACAGCATATGAAGACTGACTGGCACAGGTACAACTTGAAGAGAAGAGTTGCGCAATTGCCATCAATATCATCAGAGATGTTTGCAGAGAAGGTGCTTTCACAACAGAACCAATCTGACGAAGAGAATGACGAGGATGAATACGGTTTCCATATAAATCATCGGAAATCAAGTAAGGGTTCGAGACAACTTACTAAGAAGTTTTTGAAAAAGCAAGCGAAATTCGATGAGCTAAGAAAAGCAAGAGAAGAGAACGAAGGATCTCATGTTAGAGCATTAAGTCCAGTATCCATTTCTTCCGAATTTTCCCAATTTTCTCTTGGAGATTCGGAACATTTGTCTGTTAATAATGATACTGATACGGGATCCGAACTCAACTTTACAGATACTTCAGAATTCACTGATTTGGATATCACAGCCGATGATGAAGACTATACCGACTCCGATATGGAATCAGATGAAGAGTTAGACGTTATTCCAATAACACATTGCTTCTTCTGTGGAGCTAATAACAAAGAAGTCGAAGCCAATGTCAAACATATGTTTAACAGCCATGGTTTGTACATACCCGAGAGGTCCTTCTTGGTAGACTTAGAAGGGTTACTTACATTTTTGAGTGAAATTTTTACAGTGGACCTTGAATGTTTAGTATGTGGGTTTCTAGGAAAAAATTTAGAGAGTGTTAGGCAGCATCTTCGGAGCAAGGGCCATTGCAGAATACCTTATGAATCTAAGGAAGAGAAAGCTATTATAGCAGAATTCTACGATTTCAATGTGGACGAAGGCAATACCAAATCCAAGACCAACAAAAAGGTCACATTCACAGAATCAAGCGATGCAGATGAGGGGGTGTTAGTAGATGTCGTTCCTTCGTCTCCTGAACTCGAAGATTCACAAGCCAGTATCAACAACAATTACTCCGTGGTGCATGTTGACAGATCAGGCGTTGAATTAACCTTGCCAACTGGCTCGAGAATCGGTCACAGGTCTATGGCAAGATACTATCGCCAAAACATCGCATTGCCAAGAGATTTAGCTGAATCTGAGAAGACAGTTGCTGTTGTAGACAGAAGGTTTGCTCCTGGATTATCATATCACGACATCTCTAAACAAGAGAAGGAAACTAGAAGACTTGCCCAACAATCAAAGAATGATTACATTAGAAAGAGCAAGCCTCATAGAATGAACTTCCAACCTCACTTCAGAGATGAAATCTTACAATGATTTCTTACAATGATTTCTTCTTCTAGGGATTTCTATCTTACAAAGATATCCATTCATTCATGCCGTAATGTCTCATTTTTTTGATATTTTTTTTTTACAAAGTTGGGTATAATATTTAATCACGTACTAGTATATCTATATACATAAATGATACTCATATATGCTGTAATTTTTATGTAGGAGTCTATTATCTTGAAAATAGTTATTATCAAAACTGTTATATAATCATGCATCGATGGAACATCTAAGGCTCATTCAAAAATGATCACAAAATTAAAATAGAAGCTTATCGAACTTCGAATAGATTCTGTATGTATTTACGCTATATGGGCTCAAAAATTACCTTGTAGAATATGCTATAGATTAAAAAACTATCTTAGAAATTATATAAGTGATATACAAACAAAAGCTAAACGGTGTTTCTAAAGCAAAATTTTTTTAGACTACCGAACATTAATCAACTTCAAAGTTTAAAGGTAGTGAGAACTTATAGTAAGAAAAGAATAATAGTAGGAAAAAAGTGATCGAAGCGAATACATAGACAATTATTAGTCAGATATGGTCTTAGAAACGCATTTGTATGACATTTTATTGGTGTCACCAGATGCTAGTACAGAAGAGATATCACGGAGCTACAGAAAAGTTGCCCTTAAATGTCATCCAGATAAAACGAATCATGATCCCGAATTGACGGAGCAGTTCAAAGAAGTGACTAGAGCATACGAAATACTAAAGGACGAAAAAGCAAGGGATGTTTATAACCATTACGGAGAGGCAGGCCTTAATGGAACGTGTGAGTCTAAGACGGGCACCAGCGGAGTGAAAAAGTACAACAACTCGTACAATGTGCGTACGGCTACTGACATATTCTCGAACGTTTTTAATGATATAAATTCGATGTTCAATCGGGATCCATTTGGCAGTAGCTTTGAAGCATTCCTGCAGTTTCCAATGAATATGAATATGAATATGGGCATGAACATGAATATGAACTCGAACATGAATTTCAGTATGGGGTCTTGCCAAGGTGATTTCAAGAAAAGTGTGCAGCCTGCTCCTAATGAAAACAAGAACAAAATGGTTAGAGGCCACGATATACACCACACATGTAAAGTTGGACTTGAAAACCTTAACGGAGGAAAAATCGTAAAGTTCCAACTCCCCAAGAATAGTCGATGCTCTACGTGCATTGGGTTGGGTGGCATTAACCCTAAATCATGTCGTGTTTGTCAAGGTAATGGACAGGTTTTCGTTACACTTTACAATCAGTTTTCTCAATTCCAGGAATTACGCCAGTGTGAACCATGTAATGGAACTGGTATATATATAACACCAAAAGATAGATGTTTTGAATGTGATAATGGTTATGTCAAGGAGAAGAAAATCATAAAAGTTAATATATTACCTGGATTTAAAAATGGAGATAAAATTATCTTACAAGGAGAAGGGGATGAAGGTAGAAATATTATTCCTGGAGATGTTGTGATACATCTAGAAGAGACGCCTCATCCATATTTAGTAAGAAGATCTAACGATCTTTACATGGACTATGATATTGACTTGAGGACTGCATTATTAGGCGGTTCCATAATATTGAACGATTTTTTGAAGAAAGGTCAAGATTTAAAGATAAATATAAACGTTCATGGAAATGAAGATTTGAATCGAAGTGCTGGCGACAATATTCAAGAAGGTGAGATAGTAGGTACAATTAACTCGGGAATCCCAAAAATTGTTAAGAATTCGGGGATGCCAATAAATGATTTGAATATGAAAGGAGTTTTTTACCAAAGCACGGAGGATATAAATGAGACATGTGATATGTTTGATTTAAAGAAATATGCAAGAGGTGATCTTTTCATCCGATTCAATGTTATAATACCATCAGTTTCCGATTTCAAAGATGACAAATCATTTTTTACACTTGCAAACATTCTTCCTAGCACTATTCCTCAAGTTTCTAAAACAGTACCGGAGAAAACACTTGAAACTCATCTATCAAATATTCCAAATTTCAGTGACGATACTAACTCAAATCAAAATGCCACCATAAACCCAGCATACTCCTCGGGATCATCCGAGGATAGTTTAGACGATAAGCAAAGTCATAAAAAGCTTAAAAAATCGAATTATGATAATTACACTGTTGATGAAATTTCGAATTCAGAGTACGATTATGATGATATCAATATTGAAGATGATAATGTTGATGGAAATGAAAGCGAAGAAGAACAATTCTATGCAAGTGAATGGAGTAAAGAAAAGAAGAATCGTGGCAAGAAGAGGAAGAAGGACGATAGCTTCATGGATGGTTCTAATAGTATGCATGATTCTGGTATTCAATGCTAAATCAATGATTACGACTTCATACGAGCATGATATTATCTTACGATTATGAAGGATAATATTTTAATTTATTTATATACATAGAAATTAACGAAACTTTTAGATCATATTTATGCAACTAGTCTTGTAAAAATGAAATAATATCGCCCCTTAAAAATCAATATTATTCCTCAGGAATGCTGCTTGAAGAGGCTGTTCAACTAATTTCTATATAGATAACTCTCCTATTTTATATCATTTTATTTCCAGTATGATAACTTGTTAAATTCGTACACTATTTATCAGTATAGCCATTATTACTTACTTGAGTGCATTCACTACCCCAAGTAAATACATTCCTGCAGTTTTCTACGTCAATACTGTTCTTCCCAGTTCCTAGTGATATGTAACCTTCCCAGTCACCGCTATGACTTAAGTCCATACACCATGTACCGCAAAGATGACCATGTCCTTGAATCCATTCCTCTATTGCACCAGCTATTTTTTCTTGCTGAGCAGTAGGGTCACAATCACTGCCCCTGATGTTGTTGTTCTCAATAGATATTCTGAGAATATATCCAGATCCGTTATGTCGTACAAGCTGGTCTTTAGTACCGCAGACGGGGCCCATATGCTTGAATGATTCAACATGACTGCTAGCCCACTCAATGAAACCAGTGACTAGGTTTAGAAAAACACCGGCAGCCCTTTTTGTATATGTTTGTGTACCATAAACATATACGTTTCGTTGTTTGTTAAAGTGCTCTGTGCTATCAGATACACTTGATAGCGGACTATCATCAAAAGTAGTGCAGCCAGATATGCCACCACTAATGGCCGAATGTTTTGGATAGACTATATATTCTGGGACTTCCTCACTATTACTCAGGTAATCTTGGTATAACGTGATAATACCGCTGCAATTGTATAATCGGGTATCAGTACCTGCCATGTAGTCAATAACCGAACATGTCGTATACCCTTCTCGGTCTTCTAATGGCACGTAAGCATATGTAACTGTAATAATAACAATTAGATGTACTAAACTTAATAGCATATATAGGGTTGCATAGTATCACTATGAATGTTCTGTCAAATTCTTACCTTAAACAAACTTGAATAAATAGATTCTTCATCTTATAGTATTTAATGGACTTATTTATATACACACTTCGATAAATTCTACGCGGGATCAAATATAACTACGTAGATTTAGATAGTTAAAATCATATTAAATACATCAAGTGATAAGCCAATTGCAAAATGGAAGATGGAAATGTGTTGGATTCATCAATTATAAAGGATTTATCTAATAATATATACGAGAAGCGTAAAGCTACCTCATTTCAAATTGAAAGTTTAACTAAATCTGCTCTAGCAAGAAATGATAGTCAAATTATATTTAAGATAATTGCAGAGTTAACAGAATTAACTAATGATGGTACAAATTCAGCAAAGATGGGTGCTATAACTGCATTAGGTAGTGTTTCGGTAGCTCTTGGGTCTTTTGCGATAGCATACTTTTTGGAGGAAATTATTAAACCTATATTTGCTACATTCCGAGACACAGACGCTCGTGTTAGGTACTACGCCTGTGAATCCCTATATAACATAGCAAAAATTGCAAGGGGAGAGATTTTGCTATATTTCAATGAAGTTTTTGATATTTTATGTATCTTGGTGACGGATACTGAATCATCTGTCAAGAATGCTGCAGATATTTTAGACAGATTAATTAAAGATATTGTAAGTGCAAAGTCAACGAATTACGTTTCCATTTTACATCAGGACAATACAATAGAACTGGGACAATCAAATGATATTTCCTCGCATATTGTTGATCCTACAGGGGTTGCTATACAAGTTAACCAGGTTCAAGATACACATAAAGCCTTTTCTTTACCAAAGTTTATTCCTACCTTATTGGAAAGGATGTATACTATCGATCCATTTGCAAAGAAGTTCTTGATAAGCTGGCTAGAATTATTTGATGATATTCCGGCATTAGAATTAATTACATTTCTTCCTAATTTTTTAGAACCGTTAATTAAATTCTTGATGAATACAGCTCCTTCAGACGTTAGAATTGAGACTCAGAATATTTTGAATGTATTTTTGAAAGAAATTAAGACTATAAACAAAGTAAAAATAGAAGCCAAGAGACAATCTTTGGAGAAAGAAATCGCCAAAAAGAAAGCCAATAAGCTGAAGTTTCTTAAGAATAAACAGGACCATACGGCTGATTCCGTTGAAGCTGACGATAAGAATGGTACAGAGTCATCTGGTACTCAGAAAGAAGTCGCTCAGGAGGATACTCAAGATGAGGGAAAGGATGAAGTAGATATTACTGATGAATCTTCTATCCAGTCAAATAGTACTACTATAATTAGGCAACGCATAGATGATGAGGAATCTGAACATCTACAAGAGCTGAGTGTGCTATCAGATTTGTCTGATGGCCAATTTCTAAGCGGCCAAGATATCTTTATTGATTATTCGAAAATCATAGACATCTTATTATCATTTTTGAGATTTCCAATGTCGAAAAGTAATAATAAAAATGATTACAAAATAAACGATATAAGCAATGAAAATCATGAAATTTATTTGGAAGTTCAATTCACAGTACTCAAATGGCTACAAGAAATTTTATTGATTTCTCCCACAAGTTTTGCTAAATTTTTACCTGATTGCGTTTCAATAAATATGAAAAATATTTCTATAGCAGATGATAATAGTGATTCTGATTTAAGAAACCAATTTTTAAAGTTTAACTTATCTTTACAGAATTTCTTAGTAAATTTAAATGAGACAGGGTCGAAGGATGAAGTGAGAAAGAAAACAAATAGAAAAGATGATAAGAAGGAGGAGAAGAGGAAACTGGAATCTAAAGAGATTACTGATTATAAGAAGATAAAGGATGAAAACACAGATGTGGAGGAGTTTGATTCTGAAGACGAAATTATTGATGAAAATGTCATTAATGGTTTAAACAAGGATGTCTATGACGAATTCTTTGAGGTTTACTTAGGTCTTACTTTAAAATCTATTATGACAGAATGCTTAACATGCGTGAATGAGTTATCCAGAATTACACTGTTAGACTGGTTAATTTTCTTGTACTCGTTAAATCCTTCGAGTTTCTTTAATCCTTCATTTGAAGGTAGCGACGATAAGGATGACAAAATTTTTGACATGTCTGCATTATTGCACTCATCCATAGATGCAAGCAATGAAGTAGTTTTGAAAGTGTTACAACTATTATCCAAGATATCGGCAACTGACCAAGAATTTTTCAAGAATTTTATAGTTGAATTAATGCATTTCTTTGAGGATGAGGTCCAAGAATCTACAAATTCTGACAAGCAAAACCAGATACACGGCTCAACAGCATCACCATTGACGAGATCAAAAATTGAATTTATTATTCGTAAACTATGCGTAACATTAACGTCTGAAAAAATATTCAAGACGTTATCTGAAGTGATTGTGTCACACGAAGAACAAAACTTAGATTTTTTGAATATGATGATTGTAATGTTGAATAATATCCTTTTAACCACCCAAGAATTGGCTGGGTTCCGTAAAAAATTGAAAAATATTGACGTATACAAGGTTGATGATTGGCTGCTTTTTGCCACTTTATTCCAAAGTTGGTGCCATAATGCTCCGAGTGCATTGTCATTATGTCTTTTAACTTCAAATTACGAGTTGGCGTACTTAATTATCAAAAGCTTTTCAGAACTGGAAGTCAGTTTCCAACTTTTGACTCAACTTGATATTTTGGTCCAATTATTAGAGTCTCCTATTTTCCTCAAGTTAAGATTACAGTTACTCGAACCAGAAAAACACCCATACTTATACAAGACTCTCTATGGATTACTCATGATTCTTCCCCAGTCATCTACATTCACAACATTGAAAAAACGTATATCACTAGTTTCAGGCGTCAATTCTTTGAATACCCCATCAGGATCGTCAGGCCCGATCACCACTCCAGTAGCGACCCCCGGAGCCACTACTGCCAACACTTCCGTGGGAAATCAACTTTCCATCAAACGTAAACGCATCCACGAAATGCTAGACAAATTTACAAAAGTACAAGAAAGCCACGAAGAGTTTGTGATGAACAAGAAGTTGAGTGAAACTACTTTGACACTAAATACTGAAAAGTCAACTAACAAGCCCTACTCCAAATCAAATGACCCTGACTCTTACCCATCGAATACTGATAGGGTTTTAAGCCATGACTCCACTACTTCCGATAAAAAGGACTACTTTTCCCACTCCCATTCCTTACAAGCAAGCTCTGGTCCTAAAAACCCTAAGAGGTCGTCCAGTAGAAGGTTTGGTCTTCATAGGTTTTAGTATGAAGGCCTTATAAACACTGATCACATGATTTGTTTTGCAGGTTCTTGCTATTGAATTTTTTTTTTACGTTTTAACAAACAACAAATAAATTTTACAACTTAGATAAGTACTGTTTATAATCTGTAAATCAACATTTAGATCAAGATGTCAACACAGGATCTCAAATCAAGCATATTGCAAGAAGCAACTAGAGCGCAAAATGTTCATCATGCAGCTGAAGCATTAAGGATTGCCACCCAATCTAGTCATCAACAAATGCATAACCAACATCATGTTCAACAACTGCAAATAGAGAAAGAACAAGGGAATAACGGGCATGATTTTAGTGAATATGATTTGAAATCTCGGGATTCTAAGTACAAAAGATGGTCACCAAAAATGGATCAGTTTTTAATAAAATTATTGTCGGATGTGGTGCACAGCTACCCAAAAGGTGCGGAAGCAGAAATGACAAAGAAGGCCTGGGCATATGTTACAGGACAATTAAGAGCAGCTAATCCTGAGACGGTATATTCTACGTACACCAAGTATTCGTGTCAGCAACATTTGTTTAATGTGAACCATCATAGATTTAAAATCTGGTATATTTTGATGCTTCATCTGAAGAATAATCAAACTACTGATGGATACAGTTATAGATGGAATCCAGATGGTGGCAGATTTCAGATCATTGATAATACCAATGGGGGAATTATACAAGATGAGCGTCAGATCAAGTCTTTGCTTTATAGTGATAGCTTATCGCTTCCATCATTGAGTTCGTTTAATAAGGGGAATTTGATAGTTAATGATTTTTTCTTGACTGATCATCTAGGCTATATGTCTACATACCACAATGAGGTCTTACCGTTATTAATAAGGTTGGATAGCAGGTATGCAGATGGGTTGGGCGATCTTTATCACGAGATTCCAAAATTTGACTACAGAGGCGCAAACGATGAGTACTTCAAACCATTAGTTCCTGCGAAGTCCATAAAGTTAGGTACAAGTGATGCATCGAAAACGAAAAAGAGAACACATTCCGATTCTAATCATACTCATGACCCTCAAGGTGATGTGCCACTTTTCACCAATAGCTTATCATCAATGCAGCATGATCCAGACGTAGGTGATGAGGATACAGTTGACCCAGCATTAAAAAGATCTAGAAATATTAATACACCTAACAATAATTCAAATACAACGACAACAGAGTTTGAAAACGCATTGGCGACAGCTGCTATTGCTGCTATTAATACCCCTTCAGTAACCAATGGTCGTGATATACAGCCAATATATATTAAGGACCGTAAATGGTTTAATAGGTTAGTATCTTTGAACGAATCTGGCCTTATAACTCCTAATGAAGTGTTGGTGGTTTGTGAAGGAGTCAGAGATGGTAAAATACCTTTGTTTATGTTAAATATTTTAGATCAAAGTTACTATCCTACAAGAAATGCGGAAGATATTACTCCCGATGAAACACCAGATGAAGAAGCTGCAAAGAAGATTAGAGAGTTCATGTTGCCCATGACATTCAATTCCTAATTAATTATGTATATTAATGTACATTATATATAATAAATGATACCATGTTTTATTTGATTTATATTACAGGAGTGTTTAACCTTGAACCTGTATTTGAACTTATCGATTTCAAAGCAACTGTTGATATGTTAGCGTCAATTGAATTTAGGTTATGTGCAATGATAGCTTCTTGAAGAGATGCCTTTTTATTAGATGAAGAATTAGAGCTTGAATCACTTAATGAGCCAATAATTGAAATAGAGGCTCTCATTGATTTAATATCAGCGACAGGACTTTCACTTCTTATTGGAAGTGTTGAGTTAGCAGATCTTAAACCAACAGAATCGTTTGATGCTTCAATTGATTGAATTAAGTTGTGATGTGGTTGCACTGGAACACTCAAACTTTCATCTTGTGGTGAATAACGCAAGTTCTGTGCCATTTCATCATACCCAATAGCGTACGAAGAAAGTTCACTAGATAAGTCTTCTAACTCCTGCAAAATTGAAGTATTTGTACTTGTTAGTGATTTGCGCTTTGTCTTCAAGCTAGGTGAATTGTCGGAGGAATCTAAAAAGATCTCTGACTTTGGTTCGTCCTGACTAATCACAGCGTGTCGTTTATAATCACCTCTAGAATGTATTGTTTGATTCGTATTTATTGAGGGTAATCTTGTCTGACTTGGGTTTTGCTCGGTATTAAGTTGCTTTCTAAATGTAGCCATGTACAACAGATCCGGTGACTCCACATAAGCCATTGGTGTGAATTTTCCATTATTTACGAAAGAATTTGTTTGGGGCGTAGAATATACTGAAGAACTGGAACAATTCTTTTTTTGGATTGTCTTATGCAAGGGTAAGAAATTAGGTGAATCCAGTATTTCGGAAACGAGACAATCCAATTCAATTCTTGACGAGTAACTTATTTGTGGAGATGGTAATACACCTGAATATAATGATGCATTTTGCTGTAGTAATTCATCTGTATCAATTGATTCGTCATTAGATGATGAGTTTGTATGCGACTTAGATAACTTTGGTAAGTTCTGATTATCAAAACGTTCGTTATCAAATGATGATCCCGAACTTGAGCCTGAAGTTGTATCATTTTTACTGGATGTTTCATTACTTGATTTCTTATTATAATAGCCGTTATGTTTTAATCTATAGTCAATTTTTGCTGCCACTGTTCTTCTCAACAATACCTCGAATAACAACTTTCTATTAATATGCATCAGTTCTGAAGCATTTATCATACCTAGGTTGACCTCTTCTGGAAATAATTGGTAGAAGGTAGGAACTGAGTTTAATTTATTTGAGAAAACACTAGTCCTGTATTTGTTATAAGCTTGAGAACTAAAGTCTTGAGTTGTAAATTTTTGGTCAAGATCTGGTGCGTTCCTCACACCGTTTTTTGTAAAGGTATCTTTGAGAGGCAGTGAAATAATCATCTTGGAAGCTTGTGTTTTGGGGTTGATTACAAATGAATTATTTCTGGTAATCTGATAATATGCGCTTGAAGTTACTAATTTAGGATCAGGAAGAAATAACCTTTTGTATTTGAAGTGGTTTATTTTTTGGGGTAGCATTTCCGCTAATAAATCAGCAGCATTCGATTTATCAAAAAACTTTTGAAATTCTTGAGAATTGGAGAATTTAGGCGACCTATTCAATGGTACATACCTTGGCTTTTGTTTCAAAGATTTTTCCCTCTTAACTGGAAACAAGAAGGCCAATTTTGACTTTTGTTTGGGTTTCTCAGGACTTGAGCCTTGTTCATTTTTTCTTACCATTTTATTCCTTGACTTTATCCTGTTTCTATTTCTCAATGTTGCCGATCTTGAGATCATTGATCCACTTCTGTTAACACTGTCAGTCGAATCAAGAATCGTGACAATGTTACTATGCGTTGTTTCATGTGTACCTCTGTTCCCATTCATTGCATTGTTATGCTCCATTTCAAGATACCGAAATGATTGACTCAAGGGAGTACTATAATGACTCGGAGAATGTACCTTATGTGGCTCATATAGCACATCAAACGGGTTGGATCGTTTAGCATCTTCAGAACTACTGTTTTGGTGCCTTGTTTTCTCAAATTCCATCAAACTATCCTCATTTCCAAAATATTCTCTTGCTCCAACCTCCAATGATAGATTCTCAGTCATCCCCACTAAGATTATTCAATATGTAAAATAACTAGGGTCAACGTAATCCTTTTAGCATTAATGTATTAGACTAGTAAATGATTCACCTTCTAACTTCCAATAGACTTCTGAAGAAAAACTTGGTTACACAAATAATATAATAAGATGTATATTCTAATAAAATTACAACATTGATTTAATTTTGTCTCATTGATTGGGATTATAGCCGATGATCTGTTGGTTCCCTTCTGCAAAAGGTGGCTGGCTGCTTTATTCTTAAAATAGACATATGAGCCGCACGCAATAACAGGAGCTATGAACTTAATTTCACGACATAAGTGGTATGTCGTATATAACATCCTTACACCAGCATTCCACACCCCCTGTATCCCCCAACATGGCCGCGTATTGATTTTGATGAAATGTCGCACTAATAACGTCTTTGTAACCCTTCGTCAAATTAATGTCGTGTATTATTACCCGGCATTTTGTCGTCAGCCAAATTTTGTCGCTTGTTTACACTCAGACCGCTATCAATACATTAGGATTGTAACGTACACTACTATTTATGATCCACCCAAACCACAACATAAAGTCGTTACAACAAATCGGCAATTTACAAAGGCGAATAATTAAATTACCTCCTAGGTAGCAATTAATATAATTAGATAGTCTCAATTGAATTACAATGGATAAGCTTAAGGAAGTAAGTATAATGATGACCAGAGAGAAATCTTGTACGTGTTCTTTTCGATGGACAAAATGTGATGTAGAATAAGTGATACGTCACATATTGGGCATCTTCAATAAGGCATTAAAATGGCGGAGGGAGTAGTATTTCTATGGAGGTTTTTTGAAGATGTTAGGATTAGAATGAAATGGGTGTTTTGGAATAATTAGAAAGAGAACACGTACAATTTAGATAGATTCGGGAGGAGTAAGGAATAGTACTAACAGAGTAGAAAATCAATAACTTGAAATTGGACGCTGAAAAATGGCAAGAAAAGTCTGATGAGTATTCCGATCGTGTTAAGGAATTGGAACAAGAAAACTTGGATAAGGACAATCAAATCCAATCACTCACCAGAAAGAATCAAGTCTTGGAAGAACAGGTTGAGAAGTTAGAAACCGACTTAGCTGAGATCAAGCAAACCGCAGATGAATCGCACTCATTGAAGACATCGAATGAAAACTATACTAAGAAGCATCAAGTTTTGGAAGAAGAATTGGAAGAAGCTGACAAAAATTTGAAGGAAACCACTGAAAAATTAAGAGAAACTGACATTAAGGCAGAGCAATTAGAAAGAAAGGTTGCTTCTTTAGAAAGTGAAAAGGAAGAATGGGAAAACAAATTCGAAAAATTGACTGAAGAATATAATGCTGCTAAGGCCGAATTAGAAGAAATTAGTCAACAATTAGAAGCTATCTAATGATATTCCTAATTTATAGTTTTATATCAATACCTGAATAAATGATTAATTGAGTGATTAATATGATCCATGAATAATTAAATAGAAATGTAAAAATGTTTCATCGAACAATCAACAAGGGATTGAGGTACCACATTATATGAAAACTACTCCTTACACTAAATATTTCGAAATACCAAAGAAAAAAAATAATAAAATTTAATACATAAGGACGAAGGGGAAATTACTCAAGAGTTTCTGTATCTGTTTACATTATATATATATATATATTAGAAACTGAATTGTTCATCTTGGCTGTGAATATTTTCGCTTAACCTCGGCAATTTATAGATAAAAAAAATATATTATCCATCTCAAAAGAATACGAGTTAAGTAATAGCAGGCCCTTTATTAATGGCTTTAATGGAATCTATCCGAAAACGTTTCAGCCATCGGCTTGAATCCCATCAAATTGATGAAGACTATACTACTCCTGCAAGATCAAGCAGTAGTGGCCGTAATTCTGTACAAGCAACTAATGTTTCAAATGCTATTAACTTAAATGCAGATAATGTTGACAGATCTACATCTTTTGTGTATAATGTGGTAGACCCTTACGACCCTACCGAAATGGTACCATCATACGAGACATCACAGCTATTGTATGAGCAGCAACAAAGGGTACCTGAGAGAAATTCTTCAATTCCAAACTCATCAAATATATCTCGAAATATTTCAAGAACCAATTCATATGCGACGATTACGCCGTTAGCACAGAACCAAGGGTCTAATGGGAATCAACCAGGAAACAATGGTTCACATAAGAATAATACAAAAAATTCGTTGAAAATGCTAGGTTTAAAATTTTTGAATGCAAGACAGCACTTCATGTTGGCTTGTTGTCGAGACATATCATTAATACCATGTTTGATAGGGTTGATGCAATCATGGAACAGAGTTTTTCTAAGTTCGGGTTCAATGAATGATTTCATTGATGATAATCTAAGCCTAGTCGCTCAAGAGACAGGCAATGACACGCTATACCTTTCCATGACAAGCGCTAGGCTTTCAGAGCATTTCTTAACTGGAATATGGTGTATTGTTGCAGGATATTTGTCGTTTTCTGTGTTGGACGGGTTGATGATCAGATGGATCGTTACTTACCTGACCTTGGCGGCCATTGTTAGAATGTTGTCCATGTCAACAATTATGATAACCATTGAGCAATATCTTCTTTCTACATTCACTGCTGACGGATACAAATATGGCTTACACATTTGGATATTAATAAGCTGTTGTTTAACTCTACTCTATATTGGTCAAAATTTTGTTACACTGAATCTAGACTTGAAGGGTAATACTAGAGCAAGATTTTTCGATTTTTATAATATCGCTGTCTTTGCTGTAGTGCCAGTTGGATTGGCAAGTTTCATTACTATGATAGGATTATTAAGGTCATTGCTTATATTAAGACTTGATATCGACCAAAGGGGACTACCATGATTGTGTATTACCATCTATATTACCAACTACATTCGGTAAATTTTTCACAGATTTTTTAATGCCTGAGCTGGGTCTCCTAATTTACTTCTAACTAATATTGAATATTTATTAAGTGCCAATTAACACTTGGTTGAATTTATAGACTAATACAAGAATCAATTACAATCGGTTTTGCGTAATTTTTTTTTCTGTAATTTTTCGAATATTAAGTTTATGAGATTTTTCAAACTTATATACTACTAACATCGATAAGTCTGATAGATAAAGCTATTAATACTGACAAAAAATGGGTGTCCACATCTTCGGTAAATCTATTAAGCATAATGCTTTGGTGAAAGTATGTATTATTCATTAAAATTCTTGTATCTCCCAGTATAATGAGGTCATCAATATTCGAGATTTATTTTAAACTACACAACTTTAATCTACAGAATACTAACCACACATATAGATAGGATTAGCAAAGAAAATATTCGGTGTTGGCTATAATACTGCTGAAAGAATTTGTGCTAAGGTTGGGATTTATCCAAAAATGAGAATGAACCAATTAACAGAACCTCAAATCATGGCAATAAATAAGGAATTATCTGACTTGACAATTGAAGGTCACTTAAAACAAAAGATACTTGATGACATTAAATTGAAAAGATCTATCGGCTCTATCGCTGGTTCTAGACATGCGGCCGGTTTACCAGTTCGTGGTCAAAGAACTAGAAACAACTCGCAAACCGCTAATAGATTAAACAGACTTGAAAGACATGTATAATCAAGTCTTAACGTCTCTCATAAACCTAGGGATAGAATACAGCAGTGGCTTATCAACTTTCCGAAGTCCTTGCATCTATTCGCTATTCGTGTACATATATTATCGCTATATTAATTAGTTAATAAACCTAGTTTGATTAGATCCTTATATTTAGATGGCTTCATAGGTTTTGGAAACTGTAGCATGTTAAATGAATAAATAAATGCTGTACTAGCAAATAAAAAACAAATTGGACGAGTCAGGAGTCGAACCAGAGACCTTTCACGTGCGAAGCGAACGCGCTACCAACTACGCCACACGCCCAAATTTACCCGTTTGAAGAAAAAATTAATTGATAGACTCAATAACGTATTGACAAACATATGATTAAAAAAATGAGCGGTACGGGAATCGAACCCATGTCACCTGCTTGGAAGGCAAATATGTTAACCACTACACCAACCGCCCGATTTATATGTAAGATATAAAATTGTGATTACATGAGATGTATACCAGGAATTTCATATCAAACTTAACAAGAATTGGTAAGTTACCTTGCCAATAGCTCGAAGGACAAGGATAAAGACAAGTAGGGAACTTGAATAAGTAATTGAAACATTACTATTAATACTTTTTTTTTTGAAATTGTTTTTTGAAAGACCTGTAAGGATAAAACTGAGGAAAGCGCATATCGCAAAGTTCAGTTAGTTTCTAAACCAAATATACACAACAAGTATACCTTTTTAATACATCAGTATACAAGTGAATTTATTAAATTATATAGAATGCCTCGTTTGGAAGATTGGGAAATTAAGAAGTACTGGGAAATATTTCAAGGTTTGAATCCAGTTGATAATAAGATCACTGGGGATAAAGCTTCAACTGTTCTTAAGAATTCAAGATTGAAGGATGATCAATTATCCCAAATTTGGGATCTTTCAGATATAGACTCAGATGGAAAATTAGACTTCGAAGAGTTTTGTATTACAATGAGATTGATTTTTGACTTGGTGAATGGTAATCAGCAATCTCTTCCAAGTGAATTACCAAGTTGGTTAGTACCTGCTTCTAAGGCCCATTTAATCCAAGCTAATCGGGCTGTAACTACTGGAAGTAACAATTACCACACCAACAATAATACCGTAACGGATGATTATGATGAGGATGAAACTTTATCAGACGATTTTGATTGGTATATTTCTCCTACTGATAAGTCGATTTACGAAACTATTTATAACTCAAATAGTGATTCATACGGAAGGGTTAAATTTGATTCTTTAACAGGATTGTATCAAACCCTTGCAAAGGTACCTAGATCTGATATCTCATCGGCGTGGAACTTGGTCAACCCAAAATCATTTGAGGCTATAGATAAAGACCAGGTTTTGGTTTTCTTACATATTTTGAATCAGCGGGAGAATGGAAAAAGAATTCCAAGGTATGTACCAGCATCATTAAGGGCTACTTTCTCTAAGGATACTCCATCATACGACTTGAATCAAGCTCCTTCAAGACCAATTTCCCTGGCACCGTTAAATAGTAAGAATTCATTCGCAAACAGCTATTTGAATAAGATTGGACAAGCTAATAACGCAACTAATGAGAAAGGAACTGATTTTTCAGCTACAGAAGGAACTGATTGGGAAGAGGTCAGATTGAGAAAAGAATTGGCTAATTTAGAGGATTTATTATCAAAAGCATCACAAAAGGATAGTACCTCAAATAAGAGTGACGACAGCGAACTGGCTATGATTAAATATGAATATGAACAATTGTTAAAATATAAAACGACTGTGTTGTCAGAGCTTGCAGGTAGTTCCAACCGCAACAACTCAAAAGATTTAAGTGATGCCAAAAATGACATTGAACTTATTGAGAACCAAGTTACAATCTTGCAAGAATTCTTGAACGAGAGGCAAAACGAACTCAATAAGACTAACGAGGAAATCAGAGCGTTGAAAACTTAAATAATTGTATAATGTATTAAATAAATTAGAATACAAAAAGTAGGAGAATAGGATATGTAAGGTTATACAACCTTACAAAGAGTAAAAATAAAAATGATGTATATTAGGTTATGCAGAAAGATTATTTTTTATCATCGTCATCTTTGGTAGGTTCTGGTTCTGGAGTAGGTAACTTAAATGATTCTGGAGTGAAATCTTTACCTTCACCAACCTGTTCCCAAACAGAAGAACCAACAGCAAAATTTCTAAAGGCTTGAGTCAATTCTAATGGTTCGTAAACAACTCTCTTCTTTTCTTCATCATATCTGACTTCGGTATAACCAGTAGTTGGGAAATCTTTTCTTAATGGGTGTCCTTCAAAACCGTAATCTGTCATAATTCTTCTCAAATCTGGATGACCCTCGAAAAAGATACCGAACAAATCATAAGTTTCTCTTTCAAACCAGTTGGCACCTTCGAACAATGGAACAACAGAAGGAACAGGACTGACCTCACTAGCGTATGTCTTGACCCTGATTCTAGAGTTGTGACGAACAGACAACATGTTGTATACGACATCAAATCTATTGGTTCTTGATGGGTAGTCCGCAGCTGTTACATCCATTACGGCTTTAAACTGTGCAGCAGTATGGTTCTTTAAAAATGACATTGTTGGTCTCAAGGCCGATGGTGCAACATAAATCACAAGCTCGTCTTTCCACACTGAGAATTGTTGAATAAACTTTGGTAAACATCCCATGATGTACTTACCGAATTTATGTAACTCTTCCGATTGTTCTTTATAATGTTCGGCTGGGTTAACTAATGGAACATTTGGAACACCTGGATCCTTCCTTGGTAATTTATTTAAATCTACTAATTCTTCATTTTCATTTTGTCTGATTAAGGTGCTGGAAAGTAACCTGCTACTGTTCAACGAAACGGTTCTTAAGTTAGTTTGACCAATTTTTCTCAAAACTGATCTAGTGGAAATCATTTTACCGCTATAATGTTTGATATGTCTAGATATATTATCCTTGAAAAATGTATTTAGATGCAAATGCTTCCATATACATATTATATTACATCTGAAAAATAGTTGTATTACAATTGGACAGACAATTTTTTGTGATTTACACACGACCGTTGATCAGCGGTCGTGCGAATTGTTGATTGTTCTATACATAGAGCTCGTAAATACGAATAGTCATAATAACTATATAGGTTCCGTTTGCTGTAAAAGATATACCATTCACAGACCCATATGTACCACTAAGCTTGGTCAGTCAGTATTGAAAATTAAAAAAGAATTATCATTAAAAAGGGGATTAGGGTAATAGCACAAGAGACGACGTCGGGATCAATTAGACTAAAAGTATATTATCGTGTATGAACTCAAGACCCAGACTTGAAGCTTAAGATTAATGAGTACGGCAGCGCCTGCAAAGACTACGAAGCGTAAAAGAAGACGGTATAGCTGTGGCCCTTGTAAAACTCTTAAAATTAAATGCAACTTGCAGACGCCATGTCAGGCATGTAAAAAAGTTGGAAGGGAAGATAAATGCTATGAAGATCCACCCAAACCACCGTCGAAAGAAGAAATAAATATAAGTAATAGAAGAAAGAAATTAGCCAATCGAAAGAAGGAGTTGGCGGCTCTATCTGAAGAGGATGAGCCGCTGTCTGACGCAAATATCAAGGGAGAAAAGCTGGAGGATAATCCTGGTAACATACAGGGCAAGAAACGACATTCGGGAGCAAGTTACACTGGTAGCACATCTATTACACCGGTTCCAAATAGCCTAAATGTTATGCCGTCAAGCTCTTCCAATTTTGAAGAAAGCATGGCCCAAAATGCAAATAGTGCGATATTACCTCAAGCAGTGCTTCACCTGATAGACAACACAAGAAATGTAAGTCTAGACAGCAGTTATTTATCGAGCAATTCTTTTCGTGACCTGTTTGCTTCTGTGTCTTCAACGTCATCATCAGATAAGCAAATAAGTACGTCTTCTGTATCTAGAAGCGGCTCTCTAGCCTCCTCATTGTTTAGCCATAGACTAAGTAGTGGAGGGTTAGAAAATATAAGATTGGACCCTGATGTTAATAATTACGAATATCACAATTTAAATACGAACCATAAATTGAACGAGATGTATTCAATGGGGCCACAAGCAACGGATCAACCGTTAAACACACACAACTTTTATCTTTCCCAGCCAAACATGACAATGATATCTCCCAGTATAAATGAATCCGGGTTTCATCCAAATGCGACTCCGATTGAACTACAGGATATACAGAACAAACAAATTATGTTCACATTTAATAATAAAGATTTGAATATCTTCAAAAGTTTCTTACCTGCATTTCCAATATTGGAAGAATTGTTACATCAGTACAAATTGTCGAGTAGTCATACATACTATAATGTTTTGAATATTGAACAGATTTTCGACGTATTTAAGGACTTTTTCAATATTATATCGAGCTTATCTTCAACTGATATTATCAAAATTGATAAGCATAGTTTGAAATGCATAAGTCACTTTTATAACATTATGGCAATTAGTTATTTGCTCTCTGGATGGGAAAGCGAAGTGATTGTAAATTTGGATAAGCAAACAGTTATACAGGGGTGGATAAATATTTCTAGTATGATACGGCGTATCATATTAGACATTACTAAAGTTTCTGATATTCTTTTCTCAATTGAGTGGTATTTAACTATAAGAGACTTCTTCAAATATAATAATTTGGTTTTGGATGATTATTCATCATTCAGCAGTGTTATAGAACTCTTGAAGCTGAATGCTTGGATTTTGGAAACAATTAAGAAAGACCCAAAAAAATTATCATCTCAGAAGGATAAAGATGTTTTTCGAGTTGTGATGTATTGGACTTACCTAAGGTTAGTAGACTTAGAAGTACCGTATATTATGTCAAAGGGAACTTTTATTGATTCCCCTGAATTTGAAAACTCGATTGTTCCAGATAAACAAACATTTAATTATTTATTCAAAGACTTGACAAATATAGCGGACCCTATGTCAAATATTTCATTTCAAATAATGAGACTTTATTTTAACAGAACGCAATACACGGCTTCGGCCAAGCTGTTTCTTAAATCATATCTTGAGTTTTTTTGCGATCTTTCATCGTTAACTGTAAATGATATAGATGAATTTAAGAGAAGAATTTCAGCAAAAACCTTCGAACAGACTGAATCCGACTTAAGAACACTTGTGATGGTCCAATTTTGCCAGCACGCAGCAATAAGATGGATATCTTTTATGAATATTGAATTTTCTCATTATTTCCCTTCCTTAAGATTCGCATCGTATCTAACGACCGTTCTTAATTTGTTTAATCAATTCAGTCGGTTGGACAGCGCAATAAAACATCAAACCCAGAACCGTGTGTGCCTAGTTGACAAATTACTTCAGACCTACAGTTATAACTGCTTCGCCGTATTTGTGAGGTCTCTTGTTTTCCAGGGTATATTTGTAATCACCTTGAAAAACTTCAATCACTTAACAGATACCATACTTAATTTCCGAGAAATATTTGGTATTGCGAAATCTAGGTTCCAAGATACTTTTACCTTATTTTGGAATAGTGAGGTTCATTCTAGATTATATCTGAATCTACGATTTTTCCAAAATTCATTTGACTTATGTCTTCAAATGATAGACATATCTGAGAACGATTTGAAATTTGATCTGCTCGACGATTTTAATTCCTACTTGATGTCTGATCTCCCCCTATATGAAGATTTAACTCTAAACTATTTTGCATCTCGGGATAATTTGAGGCTGTATTTAGAGATCTTGTGGCGCTCACTTACACACATAAAATCTAGCAACCTATCAACAGAACTAATTATATCCGAACTGTTAAATTTGAATATGGATCTACTAAATAGTAAGTTACATGATCTTACAGGGCTTATGGTAACTTCCGAAATTGTTGATGACTTCACTAAACTAGTGATAGAACCAAACACACACGAAGGAAGTATCGCTCATACATAGTCTTGTCTGCTCTTACATCTATTTTTAATTTATTATATACTACACCCTGAATTACAAAGGGGTTTTTAATGCATAAATGATTCTTTTTATCAGCCTCCTAGAATAATAAATTTTAAAATTTCTGTTCTCCACCTAATTCATTTACTACGTCATTGCAATATTGTTAGTAGTTATTAAAATATTCATTACCGACATGTACCGACAGGTACCGACCCCAAGAGAGCCAAGGAAATCTACTGGTCATTAAATGACACATTTAATCTTTACTGGTGCGAAGTGTAGAGATTTGTAAAACCTGACCTGGTGGTTACATACCCTTTCCTCTTACGATTATTCAGCAAATTTTATCTGCTAAGAATTTCACCATTATACGGAAAATCAGAGCGGCGGCAGTGCAAGAAAATATTTATAGCGCAGAAAACGAGGTATCCTGATTTTCTTGGGACTTGGTCCTTCATATATACATCTGATTCTATATTATTTCATATTTTACACTATACAAGTTTAGACTTAGTATTATTATAATCAATTGCTAGAAGAATGAAGGTTGCTACTTTTCTAGGACCCATTGCATTAGCTGCAATTGCAGTTGGAGAAAATCCGAACGTATTCAAAATAGATTTCAATGTTTTAAGAGGAAATAGTAAAAGAGACTTATCACTCATAGATGAAAGGCCGTATGTTGTTAAAAGAGACGGATCTGCGGAAATGGAAATTCAAAATGAAAGGACATTTTATTTGGCTAACTTGAAAGTAGGATCAAACGAAGATGAAGTGGGGGTTTTGGTGGATACTGGGTCTTCTGATTTATGGATGATGTCTCATGATCTAACTTGTGAAGCTGTTTCTTCGTCATCATCAAAGAGAGATGTGATTGTGGACAGTAAATTACCAACGACCGATAATGATAATAAAGGTGGGAAGGATAAAGTGGTGGATAATAAAGACCAAGCGCACGCAAAACAAGTATCGAAGTCGAGTGAAGATGTAGCTACTAAATCTTCGGATGGGAATGATAAGGCATTGTGGGATTTTGGTGACACTACTACCACTATTACTACAAGTCCGGAAAGTCCAGGATCAGGGGGCGGAGGAAGCGGAAGCAGTGGTTCGAGTAAGAGTGCTGACGGCTCAACTACTAACACTTGTACTTCATATGGTTCTTTCAAAACTGAAGGTTCGGATACATTCAATCGTAACTCATCAGCCCCTGCATTTTCTATTAGTTATGCTGATGGAACAGATGCATACGGTATTTGGGGGACTGACGATGTTCGTTTCGGCGATATCACGGTAAAAGATTTATCATTTGCCATTGCAAATGAGACCAGTTCTAACGTTGGTGTTTTAGGTATAGGTTTATCCGGATTGGAAACTACTTATTCTAGCCAATATGGCGGTAATTATCAATACGAGAATTTACCATTGAAATTGAAGAGCCAGGGTACTATTGAGAAAGCGGCATATTCGGTTTATTTGGGTGAGAAGGCTGCCAAGGCTGGATCTATCTTGTTTGGTGCAGTTGATTCGGCTAAATACACCGGCGACTTGCAAACTGTGCAGATTGTGAATACTATGAAGAGCTATGGTTATTCTGAAGCTATTAAGCTAGAAATTATTGTCAATGGCCTCACTTTCAATGACTCCGGCTCCGAAATCGATATCACATCTAACGAGCATACTGCAGTGTTAGACACTGGTTCCACATATTCATACTTCCCAACTTCTCTTTTGCGATCCGTTGGCGAAACATTAAATGGACAATATTCGTCCTCCTTGGGAGCGTATATGATAGATTGTATTGGTGATGACGATGATTCGTATTATTTCACTATTGATTTCAGTGGTGCCAAAATCCAAGTCCCATTGTCTGACCTAGTCACTGAATACTCTACAGACCAATGTTTTTTGAGTATCTTGCCGCAAACAGGAGCAGATTACATTTTATTTGGTGACAATGTTTTAAGAAGTGCTTATCTTGTTTACGACTTAGAAGACTTCGAAATTTCCTTAGCTCAAGTGAAATATACTTCGGACGAGAGTATCTCATCCATCTCATCTTCTGTCCCAAATGCTAAAAATGCCCCAGGTTATTCTTCTACTGCGATTTCCACCGCTTCAGATGATTCGAATTCGGTAACGACTTCTAGCTTTGGTTCTAAAAAATCCGATGCTTCAGTAAATAATTTATCAACTGTTAAATGGTACAGTTTGATTTTAGGCTTTGGCCTTTTAGTAGGTGCATTTATATAAATAGTTCTTTTAGTTAGAAATATTTTATGTGTAGACATAATTAATAAATCATGCGCCATAACTACTAGCAATCTCGGTAACACAAAAGATCATTAAATTTGGTTAGAAATAACGATTTGTAATACTAACAAATTCCACGATTTAAGGAATACAGTATATCTATTTATAGATAGATACTGATATTATTATAGTTTTAGTAGAGGAGTTTTTGAGAACCAGAGAGAAAGAGAAGAGGTCTTGGAAAAGGAATAAAATTAATCGAACACAAGAGCACTAAAATGGATAATAGGTGAGTATTTATTAGTTAAAATTATATTAGACGCAAGGAACTAACATTTTTGCATTGCAGTGATAGTAATGGATCTAGAAACAATAGAGAACAGATCACAGAAGATGGTGAGGAACATGGTGCTATGAATGTAAATGCAAGAAGCGAAACGAACCTCAATCCTGGAGATAACGGCGGAAATGATAATCTGGCGGAACCTAATGCCAGTAGTAATGCACAAGGATCTGATACCTCTAATGAAAGTGATAATGATAATAGAAATGAAATGAACATATTTGATAGATTTATGGATACTATATTAGGTGCTAATCGAAATAGGGCTCAACCTCCGATGGCTATTCCAATAATAAGTGGCGCCGGAGATAACGGCTCTACCATGGCGTCAGCTAATACAGATACATCAAATACTGCTGAAGAAGTAGGCTCCGGAACAGATTCGTCTAATCCTAATACATTGAGCACAAGTGCTGATGCAAATGGTGGAGCCATTATTATAACAGTTAATTATGTGTTCTCTGATGAAAATAATCCACAGAATCCAAACAGATCTGGCTCATTGGTAATGACTTTGCCAAACAATTCATCTAACAGAGACCCTAGAATAATTCAAGAATTTATCAGGTTGGCTACACAGATGGCTTATTCCACGATTGTTAACTTAAACAAAGAAAAGGGTATTACTATCGATAAGTTTAATTCTTTCGATATTAAAACATTAGAAGAACTCTCGGATACCTCGAAAGAATGTTCTATTTGTTTCGAAGATTATGTAGCATTTTCCAACGGTAGTGATAAAAAGAGAAGCATTGTTGAAGATTCTAAATCTCATGAAGACACATTCGTAAAGAAACGAAAATTGAACACTGATGATTCTGGATCTACAAATAATACATTGTCTGCATTGCCTACATCATCAGATTCCACAGGGGCTTCATCGGCTAGTGAGAATACGTCGAGACCAAAATATTTATCTGAATTCACTGGATCATTTGAACATCTTCCTGTTCAAATGCCTTGTGGTCATATATTTGGTAAATCTTGTTTGTTCGAGTGGTTGAAAAATCATAGCTCTTGCCCGTTATGCCGAGATTCAGTCAGCGAATCAAATACAAATGAAGCTTCATCTACTGAAGCCAATGGCAATGTGCAAAATAATCCTAATATTACGATGATGCATGGGGTCCATAGACCTCTGTTGTCAGATATTTTCAATTCATTTGCTAGAGATAGAGACAGCAACACACCTGTTAGAAGAATTTTAAGGTCAGGAAACGGATTAGGTGAGAATAATTCTCCACATACCCATATACATACTCAATCTTTCTCTCCGCAAAGGTTAGATTCGCAAGACAATGTTCAAGAGGGTGAATCAAGGCAGAATGGAGTTTTTTCGCATCTTTTGAATTACCTCAGGAGAACCCAACTGAATGAAAATTCAGAACCGCTATTCCCAACCGGAGTTTCTAGCAGGAGAACTACGACAGGTGTTGAAACAAGACTGACTGATAGAATTGATTCTGAAGACAATGTTTTAGAGTTTATGAATTTGAGAAGCCTTGTTGACGATAATAGAAATAATGATGATGTAACTAATGTCGCAGAAGATAATAGTAACGCCGACAGCCAGAATGATAGCTCAGATGGCAGCAATACCAATAACAATACTAGTAATAATGACGCTCTGAATCAGTAAGCATAAATGCATGTAATTTCTGATGATTCTATATATGTATATATATTTGTAATTATTAAATTTTGCATTCGCTCTAAACATTTGGATTCCAGATATAATGTATCTTTTTTATTTTGATATTAAGAAAAGAATTTAGCATACTTTGCTTTTTCATTTTGCTTTTTCGCTTCTATTAACAGTTCACATTTATTTAACTGTGTTTCAATTGCTGGGTCTTCAGGAACTAAAAGTTTAGCGTTCTTGAATTCTGTTAGAGCTTCGTCATATTTTTTAAGTTCTATCAAAGCACATCCATGTCTGTAATGTCCTTTGGCCTTTTCTTGTGTCGTGAGATTATTCATGTCTAACAAATAGCTTGAGTAATCGGCAGCTTTCATAAAATTTTTCAAGCCTAAACATACCATGGACAAGTTTAAATACAACTTTTTCTTTATATCTAAATATTTTTTATACCAGTCTGGTTCTTGATCTTCGTCTGGTATATATTCCATTACGTACCTTAAGCATTTTCTGTACTTCAAAAATGCTTCTTGTTTCATTCCCTTTTTGAATAAGAGTGTTCCACTTTCTTTGATTTTTGTAGATGCATTATATACCAGTTCTGATGATTCCTTATCAATGTATTCATCGTCATCTGGATACTCTTCGTAGATATCGCCTCCTATTTGATCATAGCATGCATTATAAACTGGAATATCCATGTCTTCTGTCCAATCTCCACAATCTTCAATAAAAACTATATTTTCCTTCTTTGGAATATTTTGACTATCAGTATCAACCCTTTCCATCTCTCGAACAACTGATTTCCCATGAATCACTTTACCAAATACAGTATGCTTACCATTCAAATGAGGTTGAGGAAACGTTGTTATGAAAAATTGTGATTTATTTGCATTTGCAGTACCATCATTTGCCATACAAAGTTTAAATGGGCTATCCAAAGGTTCAGATAGATTTTCGTCTTCGAACGTATCATTATTGTAGATTGAAACACCACCTTTACCAATGTTCAGATTAGGATAATCTTTAATTGAAGTACCATTTTCAATATCTCCCGCTTGAACGACAAAGTTTTTAATAATTCGATGAAAATAATTACCCTTGAAAGTTAAAGGACTTCCCTCTTGGGATTTTTGTGAACCATTGCATAACTTGATGAAATTCTCAGAAGCTTTAGGTGCCAAATCTTCAAACAATTCCACCACTATCCTACCGGTCTTGGTGCCTCCGATTGAGATATCAATATATGAACAAGGCCTAATGAGTTCTAGCTTCATGACAAATTGTTAGTTTCGAAGAAAAATCGAAGATCATCAATATTTTTTTCTGTTGCACTGAAGAGTGAGCCTAACGCTTTTATAAATTTCAAGAATAGTAAAATACATCTTCTAAGATTATTGCAAGATGTTAAAACAAAGGATCATAAAAGCACCAAGATGTTTTATATCTAAGTGTTCGTTTTCTACTGGGAATAGTAACTACGATTTAAAATTGCATAGTGCAAGAGAAGATATCAATTCTCTCTTAGAAGTTCACGATAGGTCATCCTATATCTTAGCACAATACATACCAGAGCCAGCTCGGGATGCATTTCTCGCTATACGTGCTTTCAACCTTGAAATTAATAAAATCAGTGATGGTGGCAATAATCCGAATTCGGTTTCTTCAAAAGCGTCTAATCAACTATCAGGTTCCATGGGTATATCAACATCAGATATAAAGTTCAAATTCTGGAGTGATTTATTATCAAGAGTCTTTACTGATCCAATGTCTGATAAAAACCTTGGTGAACCAATTGCCATATTGATTAGAGACTCGTTAAGAAATGACCTTAATTTGGACTTATCATATTTCCATCAATTTTTGCAAACAAGAAAACATTTCTTACAGACAAAAAGTTTCCAGACAGTAAATGACATTTGTTCATATGGAGAAGGAACTTATTCCCAATTAAACTATTTAACACAAGGTTTACTTTTGTCCCCATCTATTTCTCCCTCTGCAATTAGTTTGTTGGAGCACTCCACGTCGCTACAATCAAAGGTTAGCGATATATCTGCGCATATTGGGCAAGCTACTGCTATAGGTTCCATGATATTGGGCTTGAAATATTATGCATCAACCCGGAACCAAGTGACTTTGCCAATCGATCTCATGACGAAGTTTGATTTGTCGCAAGAATCTGTTCTTAGGCTCACTCAAGGACACCTAAAAAATGAAAATGATATAAGAGATGTACGTGAGAAGCTAAAGAATATTACCTATGAAACGGCTGTCACGGCAAATGATCATATATTATCGGCCAGAAACAAATTGGATAAGTCAAGAGAAGAGATTTTGTCGATTGTTAAATCTCATCCAAACGATAAAATTCTACAAAAACATCAAAAACGTTGGAGAAAGAGCATTCCTGACGTTGTATTTACCCCTTTCATGGTAGCTATTCCTACAACCTTGTACTTGCAGAAGTTGGAGAAATATGACTTCGATATTTTCCATCCTAAATTGCAACAACAAGAATGGAGATTAGCCTGGACCTCTTTCCGTAATTATTACCAAAGAAGAATCTAAATATAGTATCAATCCGTGTATATAGCCATAAATTCAATATATGTGTATTACCTGTACTTCATGGTGATGCTTGCACATTATTTTATAACCCATTGTCAGAGTAATATCATATTCATTACATTTATTACATCAGAAGATCGATCATCAATGAGTTCTACGTTGTTTTAAGCACATTTAGAACCATATGCATACCTAGTAGATCGTATATCCCTTAAGCCATTAAATCAGAAGGGTCTTCTGGTTTCGTGTATGAACCACTCTTTCGTTTTCGCGTCAAGAAAAGCACTTGTTGACATGGTATCAAATCGTTCAATATAGTTAAGACAAATCAAGTAGTTGATCTTTTAGACACATTAACTATTACATAGAAATATTATAGAGAGGAAAGTGATTCTTGGAATAGAAGTAATTAAATTCTTTAAAGTCTAGTAGAATAAACATTTTCACTATGGTACATGAATTTTCCAAGTCGCCTACACCTTGTATCCCACTCGGATATAAGCAATCAGGCATACTGTTACATGCTTCGACATCTACTACCTCCATTGTTGCCATTGATCCCATTACCTTGATGATAAATGATTGTATGACTATATCTTCAGCTATGAGAAAAATGACTAGATGGTCTCAAAGTGGAGTTGCCGCCATCTTGGGCGCAGGCGATATTTTTGGTGATAACGATTCCTTAACTAATTTGGGGCTAAGCACAAATATGGCGAATAACAATGGTACCAGATCTTCAGGAATGAATGACAACCCACTTTTATCCAGCTTTTTGCAATTGAGATCGATGTTAACAGACGCAAAAGATTTATATGAAATAGATAGCTTGACCTTATTACAACCGTTTTTGTTGGTAATCAAGTCTTCATCCACCTCGGGCCATATTACATCGTTGGCATTGAACTCGATTTCTAAATTCATAAACTATGAGATTATTTCGTTCAAATCTAAAAATTTGCAAAGTTCGTTAATTCAAATTATTTCTGCATTAACCCATTGCCGTTTTGAGGCAGCGGATCAGAGCTCAGATGACGCGGTATTACTTAAGGTTTTAAGGTTATTAGAAGATATTCTCGAAAGTCCTTTATCTAAGCTTTTACCAAACGAAGTAATTTCAGAAGTTGTCCAAACCTGTTTATCTCTTGCTTGCAATAAGAAAAGAAGTGAGGTTTTGAGAAAGGCTGCGGAAATGGCTATGATTCTGATAACCTCCCATATATTCCGTCAATTGAAGGATATTGAGCCAGAAACAGTGGGGATAGATGATTTACAAACAAACTTTTCTAAAACTCAGTTACCAGAGGACTTAATAGGTGGTACTGAAACTAACAATTCGGTTAACTTGAGAGATGAAGAACTTGCCAATAACAATATACAAGATAAAACGGAAGAAGATAAAGAAAATACTATTGAAGAAGATGATCGACTTGTTGAGAGTCCGAATAAAATATCGAACTTCGATGATACTAAAAGAGCTTTGGATACTGAGGAACCATTCGGTATTATTTGCATCAATGAATTTCTAGGAATATTAATTTCAATGATATCTCCATCAAACCAATATCAACATATGGAGAGTACAAGGGTATTTGCTTTATCATTGATAAATACTGCAATTGAAGTTTCAGGTCATGATATCCCAAAACATCTATCATTGATGAGTTTGGTATCAGACCCCGTATCAAAACATGTTGTACAAATAATGACTACTACTGATTCACCGGCATTATTACAAGCATCATTGCAACTATTCTCTACAATTGCAATTGTTTTAGGGAGACAATTGAAATCACAAATAGAATTAACTCTCTTATTGTTATTTAATTCTATATCTCCAGATTCTGTTGAAAAGAATGATACTATTAATGGTAATGAAACTTCCGTGGCTACACGAATTTCCAGCTCAAAAGAGATGCTCATCGAATCATTGTCCTTGTTGTGGACTAGGTCTCCAGTTTTTTTCACCCATCTTTTTATTGATTATGATTGTAACTTTGATAGAACAGACTTGTCTAGAAAATTTTTAGAATTTTTATGCAAGCTATCTTTGCCGGAGTCCGCAGTTCTAACGACTGACAATGTTCCTCCTATATGTTTAGAAGGAATATTGACTTTCATTGGTGGAATAAATGACAGAATCAAAAGCTTGCCGATAGATAAGGAGTTGAATGATTTACAATTACACTCTTTAATCTTAGATAAGTATAAAAAGACCTCATTCATCAGTTGCACTGATATTTTAAATAAGAAGCCAAAAGCGGGAATTAAAGCTCTAGCAGAAAAAGGATTTATCAAGGATGAAAGTGATGCTGATGAATTGGCCCACTTTTTCTTTTCAAAATCTGGAAGATTGAATAAAAAAGTATTAGGTGAATATTTAGCTAAACCTTCCAATATTGAGCTTTTGAGAAAATTTATCGATATGTTTGAATTTACTGGCTTGAGAGTAGACGAAGCATTGAGGGTTTTATTGAAGAGTTTCAGACTTCCAGGGGAATCACAACAGATTGAGAGGGTAGTGGAACTTTTTGCCGAAAGATATGTACATTGTCAAGAAAGTGTTGTAAATGACCCTGAAGAAGAAGCCGTGAAACCGGATCGCGACGCTGTATTTGTTTTATCCTATTCAGTAATCATGTTGAATACTGATTTGCATAACCCTAAAGTTAGACATCAAATGGACCTTGATGCTTATAAACGTAACTTGCGAGGTGTATATAATGGAAAAGATTTCCCAAGCTGGTACCTTTCTAAGATTTATCATTCGATAAAAGAAAGAGAAATAATCATGCCTGAGGAACACCATGGTACAGATAAGTGGTTTGATGACGCTTGGCATAATTTGATTTCATCAGAAGCAATCAATACAGATAAGCACGAGACTTTAGAATTTAATAATGATCAATTGTGTCAGTTTGATAAGGTGTTGTTTGAAGGATCTGTTGATCAAATTATTGACACCTTAATCAGTGTATTCAAAGAAGCATCTGACGACCAAATTATTACAAGGTTAATGTCATCTGTTGATAAATGTGCTAATATTTGTTTGTACTATAATTTATCATCTTCAATTGATAAATTGATTGGTTTATTGGCAGAATTAACAACCTTAACTAGTGCAATTCATCATGCTCCGAGCGCAGATGATAATGTACGCGAAGAAATCCCTATTACTCAGATTAAAGTTGAAAAGAAAGATGAAGCAATTACAGTCAGTGAAATGGCAGTGTGGTTTGGAAGGGATTTCAAGGCCCAAATATCAACAGTTGTTTTGTTTAGATTGATCAAAAAGACTGACTTTAAAGTAACTGAATCTTGGAATAAGATTATTAAAATCATTTTAACATTATTTGAGAACTGCTTAATCAATCCAAACTTTTTCACCGAATTTCAGAAGAAAATTAAGTTAAATCCATTAGCAAAGGTTAAGCCTCGTTATATCATTAATAGGACAAAGCCTTTGAAGGATTCGGGTATTTTTTCAACATTTTCTTCATTTTTGAAAGGTTACTCAGACGAACCGCCAGAACCTACTGATCAAGAAGTTGAATCCACACTTTCAACTATTGACTGTGTTAAATCTTTAAATATTCCAAGCATCTTTGAAAATATTTCAAAGGGTTCGAAAGATAACTTGAAGCTTTTCATAGAATTATTGTTAGATTCCGTCCCTACGTTTAGAGAAGAAACAAAGAGGTATTTTGAAATTGAGAACTTGTTTTTATTTGAAATTGTGGTATGCTTTTGCTTACTACTTGATGATAAGTCAATCATTAATTCTACCCTCGACAAGATGAAGAATTTTGGAGGCCTGAAAGATTTATCAAGAAAAGGTAATTTGAGAGTCTGTGCATACAAGCTATTGTTAATTAGACATAGTGATGGATTGCATGAATCTACTTTATCTGAATGCATAAAAGAGTTAAGTGAATTCGACAAAGAGCTAATTAGTAAATATGGAGCACAGTTGGCTCAACCATTAATTTCATTGGTAGACGATGAATCATGGTTTTGTAAGAAATTAGTGAATAATGAAGAATACTGGAAAGCTTTAAGGGTACTTGGGTCTATTCCAATATACTCTTCGGATATTCTTAAACTTGTTGATGGTATAATCACAAATTCACCAAAGGAAGTTTCGCCATCAAATTACATGCCACTTCTTGGTCTCTTAGATGAGATATCTTCTCTTGGTGCAGCTGGATCCCAATGGGAGCAAGAAATCGAACAATTAAATGTTTCTGGACAGAAATCAGATGATGACAATTCGTATTACAGAGATCTCGTTGAAATTTCAAAGAAGTCTATATCGTTAACAGCAGAATTAAATTCAATCGCTAAAAGACCTGAGTTCAAGCAGAAAGACCTTTCGTATTCTTTAATTCAAGCTTTGGCTCATCAATGTTTCAATCCGTGTCGAGAGGTTCGTACGTTTGCAATCAATGCTTTACAGCTGACTGTTTTGTCCTCCGAAATTAACGATGAATTTACTCCATCTGGTATATTTGAGTATGGCTTATTCCCATTATTATCAGAGCTTTCAAAGCACGAAGTTTTGCATACTGATCCAAATGGATTTGCCCGGACCCAGACAGAGGCTTTATCTTTAGTGAGCAAAGTCTTTTTGAAATATGAATCGCAGTTTGATCTGGAAGGAACTGATAAAATATGGCTAGGAATTCTAGAATATTTTATTGTTTTTAATTCCTTAGGCGAAAAGTTTAACACAAATGAGAACTTGATTAAGGAATCAGGTGCAGAATTACTTAAAAATATGATTTTAGTATTGCAGAATAACGGCATATTGAGGGATAATAAGACTGAATTATGGAAAGCTTCGTGGGAAAAAATCGAAAAGATTTACCCGAATATGAAAGATGAGCTAGTACTTGAGAGTTCTTCAAAAACTCAGAAAACCGGTGCTGTGAATGAAGAAAAGAACAAATCGAACAACGAGAAAAGAATAGAGCAACAGCAAGAAGAGGGTGAAAAGCAAAATGAAGTCTCAAAAGAGGAATCAACAAATGAGCCAACTAATGAGCAAAAGGAAGAATCAAAAGAAGAATCAACAAAATAAACAGACTAAGGTTGATATTCCAGGCGAGTATATGAGCTAAATATTTTTATCTGCAAAGACATTAATAGATGTATGTTAATATCTGTATAGTTTAATGTAATGTATTTCCTGCATATTGTTTTCAATGAAGTACTTTTCAGAACCATCAAGCTCGAACAAGATTAACCATTGATAGATTCCAACACTAAACTATGGTTAACGCCCAAACGTACACTGAAAGAGCTTCTGCTCATCCATCGCCTGTTGCTCAGCGCTTGTTCAAGTTAATGGATAGCAAAAAAACAAATTTGTGTGCTTCTGTTGATGTGAAATCTACTGATGAGTTCTTGGCCTTAATAGATAAATTAGGACCATACATTTGCTTAGTTAAAACACACATTGATATAATAGACGATTACTCTTACGAGGGTACTATTGTTCCTTTGTTAGCTTTAGCTAAAAAACATAACTTTATGATTTTTGAAGACCGTAAATTTGCTGATATTGGAAATACAGTCAAATCACAATACTCTGGTGGTGTTTATAAAATTGCACAATGGTCTGACATTACCAATGCTCATGGTATAACCGGTTCAGGAATTGTTAAAGGTTTGAAAGAGGCAGCGCAAGAAGTCTCAAGTGAGCCAAGAGGTTTATTAATGTTGGCTGAATTGTCATCGAAAGGCTCTTTAGCATACGGTGAGTACACAGATAAAACCATTGAAATTGCCAAAAGTGACAAAGAATTCGTTATTGGCTTTATTGCCCAAAGGGATATGGGTGGTTCAGATGAAGGGTTCGACTGGATCATTATGACACCTGGTGTTGGATTGGATGATAAGGGTGATGGTTTAGGTCAACAGTATAGAACTGTCGATGAGGTTGTTTCAACTGGAACTGATATTATCATTGTCGGGAGAGGCTTGTTTGGTCAAGGCAGAGATCCAACTGTAGAAGGGAAGAGATACAGAGATGCAGGTTGGAACGCATATTTGAAGAAGACTGGATCATTGTAATGATAATAAATTGTTCTATATATAATGTTTATGTAATAAATATGTACAAGGATAGTTTAAGGTTTCAGGGATCAAGCGCACCTGGTCCAAATGATTCTTCATCCAAGCTATCCGATAATTTGGTCCTCATTATTTCAAATACGAGCAAACCCACCGATGTTGCCGGTATCGTAGTTAATGCATTTCTAATAAAGCCCTTATAACTTAGCTGAAACCAAGAGGCTTTAGACTTGGCTTTGATTTTCAATACTTGATTATATGTATCAATATAAGAATTATAATACAATTTGATAAATGGACGATAAGCTGTCGACTTTGATGCATTATAGACATCTAGTGCTTCTAACCTTGATAAATGAATCTTTTGAACTTTTGCTATTGGATACTGTACAGCTAACAAAGTAAATGCAGCAGAAGCACCAGCTAACAATATAAAACTTGACTTTAAAATTTTAATCAGGCGATTATTTTCTAACTTAAGTGCTTCTTCGTCTGATTGTTGAGTTTCTTTGTGAACTCCAAGATTGGCTAACTTCTTTGAGACTGATAATCGGATTTTTCTATAACCCAACAAAGTACTATATGTTATATTGTAGCCTTGAGTCTTCACAATTTCAAACACTGAAAAATAAAAAGCAAACCCCACACTATCCTTTATTAATGAAAACCCATAACCAGCGAAAACTCCAATTAACCCAACTTCCTTTAATTTGCTCAACCCATAAACCCATAAATTCTGGTGTGTCCCATTTAACATTTCTGCAGCAGACAGTCTAGTATATATTGCATCGACCGGAGCAGCCGCTAATGATTGAGCAGCACCAGCAATCAAGCCCGCCCTCCATGTATCTATCGGAGAATAATAGTAATTGCTACGTTGATTTTGCTTCTTTTCTTCTTCGTGGCGCTTGTCAAATCGGTCCAAAGAGGATAAATACGTACCATACAATATAAGACCAGTAGCCGAATTCGCTATCAATGGTGGTAACACCTGATCAGGTATGAATCTCCAACCTTCTTTTCGTAGCACGTTCACAAGCATTCCTATTGACGAATGCGTTCTAACTCTATACGGTTTTAAATAAATTTTATCATGCTTGTTTGCCACCTCCCTAACATAAGCCATGTAATCGAATCTTGATGGTCTGAATAACTTTACGGGTGTTCTCAAATATAATGCTTGTAATTGATATACAACGGCACGAATACCAGCTGTGGACAATGTAACCGCTTGGTTACTATTTTTTGCAGCTTGTGACTGGTTATTATGAATATTCAAACCTGCCAGATCAAGCGTTGAGCTTATGTTGCTCATGGACATATCATCCTTGTGTACCAGAGATGTTGATAGTGTCGAGAGATCTCGTTTTGATGTTGATAACGAAAAATCTTTGTCCATTATTCGCTTATTATTTTTTATATGTATTCATTCGAAACCTAACAACTGGGTACATCAACTGGTATCTAATCACTTGGTATTTCTTCAAAGCACAAGTCTATAATATCACAATAATCTATACTTATCTATTCGATTACTTCTCTAGATATATAAATCGTATTTATTGGAATATTTTTTGAGGTTCCAAATCCTCTTTTTGTATACAGGGAGAATTGAAATATTCACGTACATAAATCATTACACACAGCTACAAACTTATCAACAATACAACCATGTTACAGGTCTCTATAAAGGATAATCTCACTCTGCTTAAAGTAACGTCTAGCATCTTCATCGATTAGGACCAATGATAAGTATGTTCTACTAGAGAACTTTTTGTTCACATCTTTATAGGTTGGGGTCAAATCAAAACCACCTAAAAACAAACGTATAGGTATTGTTTCTCCTTTGACAGGAGCACCGTCCATGATTTCAAACCTCACCACTGTGGTACTATCAGTTATTTGATTTGGTGGGGCCCCAACGGTTTCTCTCCGAATTAAAGATAATTCCATATGCTTGATTTTCAATCTTACTAACAAGAAGTATATTCTACCCACTATGACGTCCTTTAGAGAGAAACGAGATTTCAGGTACTCGAACTCAATGTGTAGACAATCTTCAATCCCTACATCCATCCTGACAGTCGTTGGTTGTGCAATCTGGCTGTTCCTAGCATCTGTGCCCACCTCCGAAGCTGGCTGGCTGGCCGGAGTGGCTATTTGATAAACCCAAAGTTCCTTTTCTCTTGTAATTTCTGTGGCTGATTTTCTTGACACCGTAACCTTAACATAATAGCGCAACCGGGCATTTTTCCCTCTGTAACTTTCATACTGTTTTTCAACATTCCTAAATTCAAAAGGGTATGTTTCTGGGTGTATCAATTGCGACGGAGCTGCCAATTCAGTGGCCATAGATAAAAAATTGTCCGAAACTACACTATCCGTATTTGTTTCAATTGATCCAAGTAACTGTACTCTTACACCCAAATGCTCAACTTTTCTTCCTTCTCTGGTTCTAATAGTAACTGTGCCCTTCACAGACTCCCCATCCTTATAAATTGGAAGTTTTTCCAATCTTCCTTGCGGAGTCTTAACATCAACATGCTTTCGAGTATCCTCATTATCCAATCTAATCTCGATATCCAATGGGGCTTTGAAAAACATAGACATTGCTGAATGAATTCTTCTATATAGAAATGTGGATTATGTTTCTCGTTAGATCTAAGTATGTTCTTTCTTAAGCGTCTGTGTCAGCTATCATTTTATCAGTATTTAGTTCTCGGATAGACCATAATTATATGCAAACCGATTTATAGGCCGACGAAGATAATCGATTGATTACTGGCCTGTAAAGGTCTATTCTACAAACAAAGCATTCAAAATGCAGTCGGCGTAGTTTTTGATCCCAACTACGTATGACGGTATTGTCTTTGGCATGGTGTATGTCTTTGTATGATACTTTAAAATCCAAAATATAACGACCATGAATTATATACTTGGTTACGTACAATTCCTATCTCTTCCAATTGTTGTGGATATTATGTTTGATTTACCACACGTTGCATCATGTTTTATACTCTTAATTCTTCAATTCATACTCTAGTAAGATAGACAGTCTATCGAGGTTTTGCAATAATTCTGTCTAAAATTACTACCTGTATACAGTCCTATATACATTATAAAAGTATTATAAGTGTCATATTCGAATACTTCCGATGTCTCTCACTTCCTTCTGCCCCCTCTCTCTATATCTCCATATATTCCGCTTCGACCAGTATTGCTGACTATGTTTCTAGTTAGCTTCGAATCAGAAATTGGCATTTATTGAATTTTTTGAATTATTACACAAATCAAACAAATAAACCTTCAACCAGCTCTATAAGAACTTTAACCGAACATATATTACACTAGGGATTGTGAAGTTACACTCACCTTACTACATCCTATTTCATGAAATGCCTAAATGTGAGCATTTACGGCAAGCACTGAAATTCCCTTTTTGCATCCAAAATATTTCGTGTGACCAAGGCCGAGCAATCCAAGTACATGACCCCAGTTTGTTTATTGGGACGGCAATCCAAATTAGTACAAAATGGTTTAAAATTGTACAAACTAGTAAATAATAAAGGTCATCTGAATAATAATTTACATCTTATTGTCACCTTTTATGACAAAAACTCTAATTGAAGAGGCAAAAACAGGCAAATCAATTAAATAACACAATCTTCACTTAATATGTGTACTGTTGAGACCTGAGTGTTGAAATCCATTTTATAGAATTATTATCTAGAGTACCTTAACACCTAATAGCTGTATATATCCAGAAATGCTTTTGCTATTGTGTAGCTTCTAAGTAACATGAACCATAGTCCAAAGCTTTTTGTGTCATTTGTTGTACAGAATATACGAGATCTAACATGCAATATTAAACACTTTGACGTATTTTACAGGTTACGTATTTTATCGCCAATTATCGTTACTGCCTTCCGGCTTACATCTGTCATACTTTAAAGGCCAGCCAAAAGTCATTAGCGGTTACCCAGCATATCCATACTATTATGTCGAAGTATTTGGAGGAGATAGCGCCCGACGCGATTGTTCCGCATGATACGAAAGAGGAACTTGACCAACCTCTCAAGCATCTTGATACTGTAATAGCTCTATACGACTTTCCCGGGACCCAACCATCACATTTACCTTTGAGTTTGGGAGATACTATTTATGTTTTGACAAAATCCGATAGTGGATGGTGGGACGGGGTTATAATATATGCAAATGGTGAAATGGGAAGAGGATGGTTTCCAAATAATTACGTTCGATTAATTAATTACGTTCAACCGGTGTTGAACAAGTTGAAAAGTCATAAAGAGATAGACTCTCTTACAGCAGCAAACACTGCGGCAAATGTCTTGATACCATCCTTTACGAACTTGTTACAAAAGAATTTGGGCGAATCTGAGAGAAATTCGCCTGCTAACAGTACTAGAAAAAATTCGGTGGTGAGTTTTGCTAGTTCGGAGACCAGTATTCCATCAGAGCATAAAGGCCAAACTGCATCAATCCTGGGTACATCAGCTCATATTCCTTCAGTTACAGACACTTTGAATTCGGTCGACTTAAGCCAGGAAGTTATATTTACTGACGTTGAAGAGGCAGAACGAATAATGGAGAATTACAGAGCTGAACACAAAAGAAATGTGATGTGGCTTCCACGATACACCACTGGTGGTGATGTGGTATATTATTGTCATGAGTTAGACCTTTATTGTCCAACTATGCCATTGGCAACTTTCAATACAGGTATTGACTCTTGTGCTGATGCGGATATTCCTCCAAGAGATGTCATCTATGATTCTAGTATTTTGAAACGTGATTCCGAATTCACTACAGTAAATGAAATGACGGACACGATTTTGACCAAGGCGGACAGTGATTCGAGTTCAAATAAAGATTTCGACCCATTAAAGAGGGAGTCTAACGCATCATCTGTAAATTCTCAGAGCACTTCGGCCAGTATGTACCACCATTTTTCTCAACCATTATTTTGTATGGATGACTTATTTTATTACCAACCTAGTGATTTAAGGTCGTGGAGTGATTTAAGAGAAAAGTTCCTTTATTTCTTAAATTTATCTCACAAGGCATTGAAGGATTATGACAAGCAGTTATTCAGCACCCATTTCTCCAGATTAAACAAAATTATATCGTTTGTCGTGAGTGCTACAAGACTAATTCAAGATGATTTCGTTAGAACAAAATACGAAAAATCTATAAGAAGAAAACTAAAGAGAATTTTGAGCTCTTATTCACAAATATATTCAAATGGACTATTACATTTAAGTGTAATGTATTATGACAGACATATACCAGAATCAAGATTATTTAGCTTTAATCTTTCTAAATTCAAAACCAGAGCTGCAAGCACAGCCCAAAACAGTCCTACATCATCCATCTCGACTATAAGGCACGAGTCGGATGACCATTACTTCGGTTCGAACAATTCGTCAAAGAAGTTATCGAGGAGTGACAGTGGTTTTATTTCTTATTTGCAACAAATTGAATTTGAGATCGATAACTTGAAGCACGATATGAATGCATTAATAAATATACTTCTAAAGCTTAGTATAGGAAAAAAGGTTAGGAAAAGCGATTATGATGGAACTGATCCTTCAGGTGATGAAGGAGTGGATCGTTACGACATTTTACCTCAAGTATATCCAAGGTTTATTGTTGACGAATTTAATGGTGGAAATTGGTGTAATCCATTTTTTGAAAGTAAGAATACAGTTTTAAATGCTAGTGGAGATGAATTAAAAAACAGATATCACCTGAAAATAATTATAGATCGCGATGCATTTGAAACTGTCAGAAGTTATACTGATGAGATGATTAAATTGAGTGAAGAAACATTTGAATATATCGACCCCAAAGTACAACATATATATTACAATTTGATTTTGAAAAATGAAAGAAACACTCATATCCTCAGACTAATATATAAATATTTATATTTTGCAAGTCTGATGATAGATTTGATCGAAGCATTTGATTTCACTGTCTTTTGCTTGATCCATAGATATACTTCGTCGGAAGATGATTCTGATAAAGTCATAAGTGAATTAAACAATACTTCACCAGGGCCTGAATCAGAAATAACCAGTAACTTAACTTTTGATTATCCAATAGTCCTTGAATTCTTTCAATTGAAACAACAGTTTCATGATATAGTTTCAAGAATTGTAATGGCAACACAATCATTGACCCTTGAAGACCCGGATGTTTTCAAAGGAATAAAGCAGGATGATCCAGTATATTATGATCGTGATATCCTAAAAAATCCAAATGAAAAGGCAGCAATGTTATTAACCAATATATTGATGGAAGAAAACAATAATGTTAAAGGTAGTTCAATTTCTTTAAATTGTGATTCCTTGATGTATACGTATTTAAGTGATGGCCTTCGATTATTTGGATCCCTTTTACCTATCATTGAGCTGTTAATTGGAGAGAGAGAATCAATTTTAAATTATGCCACTAGAGTAATGCATGATGACTTGAATGTTCAATTATTATTAATGGAAAGAAATAATACTGTTTTATCAGAAAAGTCCGATGAGGGCCATGCATATTATACCGGAAAAAAACAATCAGATGCTCCTTGGTATTTGGAAGGAGATGATGAGTATGATCTCTTATTAGATATTAAAGGAAATATTAAAGGTGGTACGAAGCAAGCTTTAGTAGCACACTTAACACATCATGATTACTTTGATAGTAATTTCAATAGTGCATTTTTATTGACTTTTGCAACAATGATGCCAATAGGTGAATTTTTGACTTTGCTCATAAATAGATTCAACTTGGAAGCTCCAGAGGGATTAAGTTACGAGGAATATAATAGATGGATATCTAAGAAACAAAGTCCAATCAGGTTAAGAGTGATTAATGTCATGAAATTATTGATAGAAAGATATTGGGCCGAATCATACTATGACGAAAGTGTGCTTCGGAGGTGGCTAGCATTTGTTCAAAGTCCTGAGATTAAATCATTTTCTATGAGTAAGGTTTTGCAGAATCATTTACAAAGTTTATTAAATCACGAGAAGATATGTTATGAAAAAGAACCAAGTATTCCTACATCTAAACCTCCTCCACCATTAATCAAGGGTTATCCAATGAAAAAGACGAAATTATTAGATATCGACTTTATTGAACTTGCAAGACAATTAACTATAAAAGAGTTTAAATTGTATTCCAAGATAACGAAATTTGAATGCTTGACAAAAGTTTGGGGAAATAAGTCAGGACTTCACGAGGACATTCTAAGCATCACGAACTTTATTAGGACTTCCAACCAATTGACCAATTTTGTTGCATACATGATCTTGAGGAAGCAAGATGTGAAAAAGAGAGTTCATATAATAACATATTTCGTACAAGTTGCAGAAAAATGTAAGCAGTACAATAATTTTTCTTCAATGACTGCCATTATTTCTGCATTATATTCTTCACCTGTCCATAGATTGAATAGAACTTGGAAGCATGTCCCTGCTGAAGCCTTAACTAATTTAAGAAATATGAATAAGTTGATGAATTCCTCACGCAATTTTAATGAATACAGGGATGTATTAAAATTTGTTGGATCAGAACCATGTGTTCCATTTTTTGGTGTCTATTTAAGTGACTTGACGTTTGTCTATCATGGAAACCCTGACTACTTAATGAATAGATCTAGAATGATAAATTTTGCGAAGCGTTCAAAGACTTGTGAAATTGTGACTGGAATTGATAGATTCAAATGTACAGCTTACAATTTACAAGAAGTAAACGATATTCAGGAATACCTCCTCTCTTGGTTCGACAAGTGCCCAACTATAGAAGAACAATATCAATTGTCTTTAAATTTGGAACCTAGAATGAATGTCTCTGGTAATAATGCTGCTAACAGAAATCAGAAATATTCATCAGGTACATTTTCATTCGGAAAACACTAGTTAGAATACTCTTTGTTGTATTATTATTTGTATATGAATGGAAAGGACCTAATAACTTATTTAATGATATCGCTCAGCCTCACGTGTATAATCTCTGTTTTTGCGCTTATGATCTAAGGCTCGGTAAATCATAATCTTGAAGTCGAACAAACCATTTAATATCATACACTTAGATCAATAGCTAACAGCTTCTCAGAGAGGTGAATATACGATATGTTCACTAAACTTAAGAATTTTTCCGAAGACGTTGCTAAGAGCTTTAATGATATTAATCAGGATGGTTCCAACGGAAATGTAAATACGCCGAACCGACTCAAGAATCCGATTAACGAATTGAAAAGTGAATCTAGAGTGTTGAGTACCAAAACACCCGACGAAACAGAATTAGTCCAACCAGAAGATGAACCAATATCGAAAAGTCTGTCTCCGGCACTTGTGGACAATAAGGGCGAGCCTTTAAAGGGTAAAAATATCGATCTTGCAGACTTACCTTCATCTATTAGATCCAAAATGAAAAAATTTGCTAAGTACGAGGAGAAATACCCTATTTTATTAGAAGCATTCAAGACTGAAAAGAGGAAAGCTGAATTGATTTTATCGTTTGAGAAAGTATTGCAAGAAAATACACCGATTTCAAGTATTTCTGAGGCCGGCTTATTAGTAGAATATCTTAATGGCATTAACGAAAAGACTACTATGTTAAATGACGAATTACGGAAATATGCGAAAGAAAATTCTGGCTTAACTGAGAAATTAAAGGAAGCTGAAACCAAATTGAAGGAAGCGTTGGAAAAGGGAAAGGAGCCAGAAAATGAAGAGGCAACGAACGACGCAACATCATCTCAGAAATCAAATGAAGAAACTGAGAAACTTAAAAATACCATATCAGACTTGGAAAAGAAATTAGAGCTGAAGGAAAATGAAACCAGGACTGTAGAAAAGAATGAGTTGGAAAATAAGAAGCAAGATAAGACAGATGATATAGAGACTAAATATTTGGAAGAAATTGGTATTTATAAGACAGAAATTCATTCTTATAAAAAAGAAATTGAAAGTTTCAAAGATAAATTAGAGAAATCTGAAAATTCATCAAAAAGTGTCAAGGATGAATTAAGTGTTGCACTCAAAAAATCTAATACATTGGAGAAAGATTTGAAAAAATTAACTGATACTTCAAAAGTTGATACTGAGTTAACCGACTTGAAGGCTAAATTAGAAGAATACAAGAAACAATTGGAACAAATAAAACAAACTAATACCTTATTAGAAGCCGAAATAGAGAGCAAAAATAAAGAACTCGAAAGCTTTAAAGATAAATCAGATAAGATACAAGATGATCTTGATAATTCAAATAAGTCTATTGAAAGTTTGAAATCTGATGCTCAAGAATTGAATGCAAGGGCTAGTGACTTGTCGAAACAGTTGAACGAGAAGAATAAGGTAATACAACAATTAGAAGAAAGTCGTCTGATTGCTGAGCAACATGTCGAGACCACAACACCAGCTATCTCAACATCAAATAATAAAAAGAACAAGAAGAGGAATAAGAAGGGTGGAAAGAAGAACTTAACATCTGAAAACCAGATTACATCCGGCAAGGAAGCGGAACAAGTATCGCTGACTGTACCTGAAGATACGCAAAGTAATTATGATGAATTGAAGAAGGAAAATGAGCGTATTCAATCTTGCTTGAAGGAGATTGATTCTAGTAAGCAAGAAATATCAGATGAATTAAAGAAAACGAAAGAGAAATATGATAAGCTTGTTAAGGAAAATGAAGATTTAATTACAAATCATAAGAATGTTAAATCAGATTTGAATCTTAAAATTGAAGACGTTGACCATTTAAGAGATCTGTTGAAAACTATAGGTGATGATTTGGTTCAGGCCAGAGATGAAATCAAAGTATTGAAAGAAAAGTCTAAGTCAGCTGAGCTTAATAATGATGAAGGTTTGAAAAAAGAATTAAAAGAAATGCAAGCCAAGCTCAATGAGTTAAATAAATCAAAGGACGATGAAGAAAAATCTAAACAGGAGCTTTTAAAATCAATTGAAGATCATAAAGCTTCTAATATCTCAAATGAGAAATTGCTAAATGATGTTAAAGAGGAGAAGCAAAAGCTCGAGAATACTTCCAGAGAATTGACAAAGGAATTGGAGACAAGCAAAGAAAAGAATTCTGATCTTGAGCAGGAAATTCAAAAGCATTTAAAGAATATTAAACATGATTCATCTCAAAAACTAACTCAGAAAGATTTTGATGTATTGAAAGAGAAACATTCTACCTTAACATCTAAGTTTGAAGAAACCAACAATCAATTTGAAATGGTTAAGAAAGAAAAAGAAAATTTGAACTTAAGAATCAAAGAGTTGTCTGAATTCAAGAGCAACGATACTTCACTTAAATTGGAGATTGCATCTTTGAAGACATCGATCACCCACAAAGATCAATTAATTGAGGATTTCAAGAAAAAAATTCATGCATTGAATGAACTGAATGAAGAATTATCTGCTTCTTTATCTAAATTAAAAGTATCGAATAGCGAACTACAAAATAGCAATAAGGACTTGGTTTCCGAAAAGAATGCATTAGTTACGAAACAAGAATTATCATTTGAAAAGAATAATTCATTGAATAATGAATTATTCAAACTTCAATCGGAAAAGCAAAAGCTTTCTACAGAATTAGAAGCTATGAAAGACAAGCACGATTTTTTAATGAAAGACAAATCCAGCTCTAGTAATTCTATTCAATCAATTAGACAGCAATACGAAGAGCTTTCTATGAAATCAAAAGAATCTTTGTTAAAGATTGAAAATCTTGAGGATGAACTTAACGAGTCTAGAACAATGTTACAGGAAAGAACAAGAGAGTCATCTACTATAAGACGCATGTTGTTAGATGCAGAAGAACAACTAAAGTTGAAGACCCATGATTTCAAGAGTGAAATTACAAAAATTGGCAAGGAAAAAAGTGAGATTGAAACTAATTGTCAAACATTGATTAAGAAAAAACAAAGAGAAATCGACGAGTTTAAGTCGATAACAGATAACTATTTATTGAAAATTCAAGATCTAGAAAATAAATGTAATGAGCTAAAGCAGCAGTATGAAGAGTTAGAATCAGAAAAACTAAAAAATAAGAATACTACTTCGGATAAAGAAGAAGATTTTGAAGAAACTCAACAAACAATTGAAACTTTAAGGAGCTCATTGCAGGCTTCTGCAAAAAAAGTCAAGGATTTCGAGAATCTAAACAATATTTTGAAGAAATTAAACGAAGAGTCTAATTTGAAGTTTGAAAGATTGTC